TTGATGTTTTTAATTTAATAGGGCTTATTTTCTTTCATATTCCTTTTATTTTGGCAACAAAAGGAGACAGATAAATAACCAAAAAAGCTTCCCTTTTTTAGCACCAGAAAGGAAATAATTTTATTTTTTATTTAAAAAAGCCAAAAGTCAACTAAAAGTAAAATGATGTTTTTTAATGTAAAACAGCTTTGCAATTTTTTAAAAAATACCTAATTATAAATGTCTCGTTTTTAGAAACTACTATTTTAGCTTTTAAAAAAGAGACACTATTAAGGTTGTCGGATACTTGGAAATCTTCGGATATCCGGATTCGGCAACCTTATACACGATCGGTTATCGGCCCCAAACCAATCCCCAAGAGTCAATCAAAAACTCTAATTTAAACCTAAAAGTATCAGTTAATAACCAGTAGTGAACAACCCCCTCCCCTCCCTCTCCCCCTCTATACATAAAAATTTGTCTTCAAAAACGGAATTGAAGACGAAGTCTCTTCTTTTTTGAAGGCTATTTTTAAAACGAGGCTTTAAAAATAATTATTTTAACTTTAAATAATTAAAATTAGACAATTCTTTTTTTAAATACCTCATTATAAATGTCTCGTTTTTAGAAACTATTTTAGCTTTTTAAAAAAGAGAAAAGTGCAGCCATAAAAAAATAAATTGATAGTTAAAACTAAAAATAAATTAAAATAAGGGAAGTAAAAATAAAATTTAAATTTATTTTTCAACAACAAAAATACTCCAAAAACGCCCTTTAAAACAATAAACAAATTCAGTCTCCACTCAAAAAAATTTTTTAAAAATATTTAAAATAAAGTGTAGGAGTGAGAAAAATAGACTTAAGAATCTTCCTTTAAATGTTGATAAAAACAATATAATTTTTATGTAAAATAAATTATTTAAAGGATTTTATAATTGTTTACAAATTTAAATTTACTGTAAAGTATTTTTTCAATATTTTTTAATATTTAAAATTAAATAGAAGGTCGGTACAAAACAAAAAAATGCTAAGGGCTTTCCTTAAAAATTCGGCAGGGCTCTAAAAATGCGTCAGGACTCTTCCTAGCTATCCCAATTTGAAATCTGAGAAGTCTATTTTTCTTTGGGTTCTTTAGAATGGGTTTCTATAGAAATGGCTTGCTATTAGGGCCCATTTGCAGCCTTTTGTATAAAGACTCCAGGTTTGATACAAAATTCGTTACTTGTCTGTAGCTAAAAAACTAAATTCTCGATTTCGGCAATCGTAATGGTAGAATCTTTAGTATGAGCAGAACAAATGAGCTATTAGTTAGAAATCTTTTAAAGGCTAATTCTGGCATTTTAATAGAAATAACAGGTTTGACGATAATAAAATGGAATAGGATAATAGGTATATTAATAATAAGATGTTTTCTTAATTTATTAAATTATTTAATGACGCAAATATCTGGAATAAATAAATAAATATTTTGTTCTTTTGTTTTTTTTTCAAAATAATTCATATTTTATTCTTCTAAATTAAATTAAAATAAAAAATAAATATCCTTCATAGGGCATTTTATTTTGTTTTCTTTTTTAATATTTCAAACAAAATTTTAAAAGGGCAAATAATTCATTAAGGTTAATTGTTGAGAAAAGGTCTTCATAAGAACAATAAGACTGGATTTCACTCCGATTTTAAAGAAGAAAACAGAAATTCGCTTAGATTTCGCTCAGATTTAAGAATCCTTAGTATTTACTAGCGATTCTTATGCTTACTTAAAAATCACTTTGCGTCTTGCGTCAGAAATGAAAGAGACAAAAGAGAGATTTTTTTATATACCAAATATTTTTTAAGTAACCCTAACCACAAGTCCAAGCAGTGTTTGGGTGCTCGTACCAAAATTCGTACTCGTACCTGTCTATTAAGTATGATCTTTTCTCCTAAGGCCTCCCAAAACAAGCAAAAAAAAATGGGTAGGTACGTGAAAATTCCAACCACTTCTTCCATAAAAATATAGAAACACATTAATAATTTGTCTAAAAAGCATTACCATAAATAATTTTAAACAAAATTTTAAAAATTTTGAAGCTTATTTAAATAATTTTTTCTTAGAAAATTAACGTTAGAAAATTTGTTTAAAATTTTACATTCAATTTTCTAATATTTATTTTCATTTTTTGGTACTAATCTTTAAAAGGGAGTGTGTTCAATTTAATTTTAAAAATAATTGAACAAAGAAAAAAATTATTTTTGAACGTTAAATATAATTTTTTATACATAAAATAATTTTAAAAATACAAATAAATTAAATTTAGAGTTATAATAAAATCTTTAAAAAAATAAATGTGTGTACGATTATTAAAAAATTGTGTACGATTATTTAAAAAAATTCTTTTTACTTTTTCAAAAAAAAATTTAAAAAAGTAATAAAAATTTTTTTTAAAGCTGTACGACTATTTCGAAACTTCCCAGCCATGATTTTAAAAAAAATTCCTCAAACGCAGTTCACATGTAGAATGACGCAATCCTCAATTGCATGGATCTTTGTTCCCAACAGTCCCCAAAACAGCCCTCCCCAAACCCCCTACCTTGTCCCAAAGTGTTTTTATTAGAAAGGATATTTATAAATTAACGTGTTACTTATATTTTTCAAATTAGCTCAAAAGGGGAGGTAGACTATCTTTTATTTAAAATTAATTAGAATACATATAAATTTAATAAAACGGTAGGCTAAAATAACAATTTAATGTGTAAAACATTCAGAGTTGTTTCGAAATTTTAATTTACGATTTTTGAAGTTTTTTTGTTTCTAAACAGAAAACATTTAATAAAACAAAATTGTATTTATGAAAAAAATTTTTTGAAAAATTAACTTAGGAATAGGGTTGTGCCCTGAACGCTCTGGGGCGGTTGTGTCGGGGTATGGGGTTTTCGAATTGTTTCGGGACGGGGAACGGGTCTGGGAAAATCTGAAAAAATCGTTCGGGGGACGGGGTCAGAGGGCAACTCTACATAAGAAAAATAAAAAATTTTCTCGTATAAACTACAGTAATTTTAAACGAAAAACTTCAAAAGTAACTAAGAAAACCTTTAAAAATCCTTCCAATTTTAAACCAATTCCTTTATTCCATAAATAGTACTTGTATAGTATTTTAAAATTCAAATTAACAAGTATAAATAATTTACAAACAAAATAATCGTTTCTTGAAGTTTAAGAAATTTTTTTTACTAAATAAAATAAAATTTAATTGTCCTTAGAATCATGAAAGAAGTAAAAATTTTTAATTGTTTTTAGTCCAAAATTAAATTTTTTTAAAAAAGGATAAATGTGTGGGTGTTGAAAAATGACCTTTTTTGGTTTAAAAAAGTTTGTTTTAATTGTTTTTATTAAATATTGAAAGACTTTGTGTCTCCAAAACCTCCAAGACGTCATTTAAAAAACAAAAAATTAAAAAATAAAGGTAGTGAATGACGAATTAATTTAGAAAATAAAATTTAAAAAATAACAAAAAAAATACTTAAAATTCATGAAATTACAATCTAATTAAGAGTGTAAAGAGGCCGGTGTACGGAATTTTCGTCTCTGGAACATTCGTCTCCAAGACTTTTCGGAACTTTCGTCTCCAACATTTTCGGAATTTTCGTCTCCAACGGAATATTCGTCACCAAGGAAATAAACGGAATATTCGTCTCCGAAATTTTCGTCTCCGCTAGGAATTTTCGTCTCCAGCGAAAAAATCTGGCAATCCCGGAGGCTTTGTCAAAACATGATCAATCACTGTGATTTTGGTGTCATTCGACTCAGCTCGACGATGGACTTTCGATTAAAATTTACTATAAAAGCTTGTTCATTGTTTCATTCTTCTTTCCAAACACCACAACATCTTCAATCGCTACAACTCTCATTACGTCAACATCGTCCAAACAAACAACAAAACGCTTCATGCTCTTCTGCCTCCTTCATCCAATGGACCACAACACCGGACCTTTGGCAAGGAAGTCGTCAATGCTTTGTGTTCTGCTGCTGATATCCATCGCCGCGTTCCTGGTGATTGCAGTTCCTGGACAGGCCAACGCTGAGGAAGTCGGAGTTGCCAATCACACCTTGGAGAAAGATGGAGTGACGCTCAAAGCAGGAAGTAAGCCGGCCACTAAGTACTTAATCTATGCCGAGTACAAGGAGCATTTTCCGAAAGTCTGTGATTTTTCAATCACCCAAAATTACATGTAAGCTGATTTTTTTAATTTGAGGGAATCTGTAGAAATTTCTAATTTTTCAGAGAACTTCGTTACAAAGGTGATGGGTGCACTGTGGAACTGATTACCAATGAAACGAAAATGATCAAATTGACAATCGGAATAAAATTAAAAAAGGAAAGCTGTATACAGGATGACTGCAACAGTCGTCATTTTAAGGATGGCTTTTTAAATCTGTAAATTAAAAAATATAGGCATTAAACAAGCACATTTTCAGCATGCCCTTTGCCTACAGCAGAAACAATGAGGAACTTGAAAAGCTCAATGAGAAGCCGATCCATGGTAAAGAGTGTGTGGATAGTAGCAGGTGTTGGGAAAATAAATGCATGAATAACACATTTCTTGAAGTCTCATGGAGCAAATGTCGTAAAGATATATACGCTCACACCCATCTAAGTAAGATAACACTTGTTTTTTCTTTCAAATATTCATTTTAGTTGGTGAATATGAGACGGGCCTGGATCAATTTCGAAAAGACGACAAGAAGGAATTCAATCTGGAGATATATGCTAATAACAGCTTCAAAATGAATTTTGATGGAAAGCCAGAAACATTTACAACAATTGGAAACAAGAGGATTTACTGCCTTCCAACAAAAACAGATGCCATTGTCAAACCAAAAACATGGGAGATCATCAAAAATGAAGACCTGAAGGATAAGTATCTGCTGGTCTTCCATCTACTTCCACCAAAGGCTACACGATTATACACAGTAGACAAAGACAAACATATACAGCCTAAAAATAAACCAAAATGTGATCTCTTCGTTCGCTTTGTAATCCTTCACAATTATTTATCCAACTAATTTTTATCTTTTAGAACACGTCACACTACCAAATGCTTTATGTCCCGCCTCAAATAATAACGACTACAGTAACAACAACATTAACCAAAACAACACCAGCTATCACCAACTTCAGCGGCAAACTGTCACCATCTCCAACAGCAGGAACAAAGGAAGGAAATGTTACACAGACAGCAAAAGTAAAGGAAGTAAAGGACACCGAAGAAAAAACGGGCACTTCTTGGATTTGGGTAATTGTGATTATTGTTGTGTTGGTTGTGATTGGCATTGGATTTACTATTTGGTTTTGCATCTCAAAAAAACAACAAAAGAACCGTAAAAAGCAGGCTGAGGAGTACATAGGGAATGTAAAACAAAGGGTAAAAACGGAAACTTTTACGTAAAATCAAGTTCATTTTTTCAGTCATCTGAAGACAAATACGTCCTGGAGCTCTTCGACAAGATGGATGAATACGACGCATTTATGTATAAGAAAGTGCTCTTTAAGTTGTATCTCCCGGAATTGAAGAAGAAAGGTTTAGCTACAGTTGGTAAATTCGAGGATTGGAGAGACAAGGTAGTAGAGAGAGTTTGTAGAAAATTATCCTAAAAACTTGGGCCGAAGCTGGGAAAAATTTTCTTTTTAATTTTTTAAAGTTGGTCGGTCCTCAAGTTCCGTGGGGACAAAATATAAAATTAAAAATAATTTTATTTTCATTTTTTTCAGAATGGATTTAGTAAGAAAGAAGATGAAAATCCTAAAAGATTCAACTGGAGGATAGAAGAAGAAATTGAGTGTAGGGAAGAGAAAGGCTGATAAGAAGTGATGGGAGGGGGAGATGTTCTGTGAAGTGTGTGGATAAGAATAAATACTCGAAGTTGAGGATTATTTTGGAGAAATATATAGAGAGAATAATCTGTAAATCCATTCATTCTCTATTTAATTATTTCCCCAATATTCTCCAAATCTCTCAACAAAAAATACTTGTATTCCCCCTCTATAATCCCTATATTCATCCCTAAACATATATTTCCTTATTAGGCTATATGCCTCTATATATGTGTATAATCTATGTTTTTTCCCTTTATACATAAATATTCCCTATATATTCACAAATATCCCCCCTATATTTGCAGGTTGAGTTTGTTGTTTTCCCTGCTATTTTTCGTATATATTGTATTGTATGTATATGTATTTTTCTGTATTGTAATTGTTGTATTGTAGTGTGATAAATATGTATTTAAGAATATTTGATTCTTTGATTGATTGATATTTGATTTGGAAGAACGTAGGGGAAAAATTTTCAAATTTCTAATAAATCCAATAAAAATGGAAAAAATAATTAAGAAGATAGTAATTCTATTTCCAGTGAACAGAGACTTTTCGATTTTTGACATTTGAAATTTTTTTTTTCACTTTTTTTCCACCTTGTAAACTGGACGACCACCTTCTTGCAAAAAATACAAAAGAACTTATTGTTAACATTTATTTGTACTCTTGTAGAGTTGATAAAATCGCTCCCTCGGAATCCCGTAATAGTCAATTTTTCAGAAGACCGAATGGGACGGAAACTCGCGGGATTATAACCGTAAATCCATGTATACACAAATTTCAATCAGTCTTAATGGAGGAATACAGACGGATTAGAAGTACTTACTAGTATTAGGGTGATTAACAGGGATTCACCCTCTCAATACATACTTTAGTAGACCCCATTGTATCACATTTAGCCCTCCATATCCAACGATATCTCCCTTAATCCTCCGATATACCAATAACCTTATCATAAAATAGAGCTCCACCCAGGGCTGTGCGCTAAAACGCCATTTTTCAATTTTTAAATTACGCCAAACGCAAAACTCCCAAAATCGGACAAAAATGGACGCCAAACTCAAAACACCAAACGCCAAAATTTTTATGATATCTCTGAGCTTCAGATACGGGTCTAGGTTTACTGAGCCGTACCATGATTGAACTATTCGTATTTAATTAAGGGCTTACTGGAAAGCCAGGAAGCCAGATTTCTTCCATTTTTAGCGCCACAGGCGAAAATTTTGAGAATTTTGGATGACTGTATGAATAAAATTTTCTTTCTCGATCATCCCTTCTCCCATTTATTTTAAAAAATTTCCATTATTAGGGGTGTATAATTTTGGCGTTTGGCGCGCCAAAAACGAAAATCACAACAAAACTAAACGCCATGACGCACAGCCTTGGCCCCACCGTCTTGGATAGTTGATAAATAGAGCCCCCTGGGGTTTTATTTTCGTAAATACTATATTCAAGTATAAAGAGGTGACATTTGAGCTTCTAGTAGATTAAAATGTTGATCATTAAATGGGCTTCTTTTTATAATTAAAATAAAAAACTACCGGCAAATTTCTTAAATTATTTTTTATATTAATTTTTATCGGCAATTTGGAATTTCTACGTATAATTTATAAATAGTAGGAATGTATATTTTAAAGATTAATATATGTAGCTTTATTGTTTTATTTTTTAAAATTTTTATTTACAATTTTTTTAAGTTAATTTGACTTTGAAGGCTTAAATAAACAAGCATTTACGGTAAATTCTAAATTGGCCATGATTTCCTTACTATTTTTTCTTACCCGAAAAAACCGACTAGAGCCGGATCCAACAGGATCCAACCTATTTTCCTGATTTAATCCTGCCCGAAAGTATGTAATCCGGAGATCGCGAAAACCCTCCGGTTTGTGACCCAGACTGAAGGAAAAATCCGCGCAGATATGGTCCGGGGCTAGTTACAATAATTTACCACTAATTTTGTCCAACTAAATTTTAAAAATATTATCTTAAATCGAGGTGCATTTATGTGTATCTTAGTTAGGTTCGATAGTCTGTATCATCCAAATCATATTTGTGTCAATTTACTCGTGAGATATGGTCATGTGTACTATGAAATTACAATTTAATTCCAATGGTACATGAATCTGACAAACTTCAATGAGCCAAAATTTACTATAAAAGCTTGTTAATTGTTTCATCCTTCTTTCCAAACACCACAACATCTTCAATCGCTACAACTCTCATTACGTCAACATCGTCCAAACAAACAACAAAACGCTTCATGCTCTTCTGCCTCCTTCATCCAATGGACCACAACACCGGAACTTTGGCAAGGAAGTCGTCAATGCTTTGTGTTCTGCTGCTGATATCCATCGCCGCGTTCCTGGTGATTGCAGTTCCTGGACAGGCCAACGCTGAGGAAGTCGGAGTTGCCAATCACACCTTGGATGAAAACGACGAAGTCAGGGTCAAGTATGGAAGTATGCAGGCCACCACAAGTATAATATATGACGTCTACAAGAAGCGTTTTCCGAATGTCTGCGATTTTTTAATTACTCCCAAAGACATGTAAGTTAATTTTTCTTAAAATTTTGAGAAATATGTAGACATTTTTTATTCTTCAGCACACTTCATTACAAAGGCACAGGGTGCACTGTGGAGCTGATTACTGACGATATTGAGGAAATCAAGTTAACGACAGGAGTAAAAATCACGGATACTTGTCTGGACGACTGTGGGGATCGGGATGCTAATTTTAAGCTTGGTTTCTCAAATCTGTAAGTTTTAAAGAAAGTTTCAATTAGGACAATAATGTAAATACATTCCTTTTTAGCCTGCCCTTCGCTTACAGCAGAACCAATAAGGATCTCAAAAAGCTCAATAAGGAACCGAACTATGATGTGGAAGCAGGGTGTCCTTCTATAAATAAGTGCGGTGGAAAGTGCATGAAGGAGACATTTCTAGAAGTCTCATGGAACAAATGTGATGGAGATGTATACGCTTATACCCACCTAAGTAAGATAACGATTATTTTTTACTTTAAAATAGGTATTTATTTTTAGCTGGCGAATATGGCTCTGGTCTAAAACAATATCGAACAGACAATAAGAAGGAATTCAATCTGGAAATAAATGGTGATAGCAGCTTTAAAATGGATTTTGATGGAAATTCAGATGTTTTTAAAACAAAAGGCAGTAAGCAGCTACATTGCGTCCCAATTAAAAGTAATGATGCCATTGTCAAACCAAAAGCATGGAAAATCAAAAATGGAGTCAGAGACCTCAAGGATAAATATCTGCTCGTCTTCCATCTACTTCCGCCAAATGCTACACGATTAATCAAATCAGGCGGCAGCTTGTTAGAACTACCACCTAGACCAAAGTGTGATCTCTTCATTCGCTTTGTAATCTTTTTCCATTTTTCTAAAAATACGGGCAATTTTTATTTTTTAGGAAAGGCCAGACTACGAATTTCTATTTGTCCCGCCTCAACTACCAACGACTACAGTTACAACAACAACAACAACAACAACCAAAACAACACCAGCTATCACCAACTCCAACGTCAAACCGTCACCATCTCCAACAGCAGGAACAAAAGAAGGAAATGTTACACCAACAGCAAAAGTAAAGGAAGTAAAGGACACCGAAGGCAAGAAAAGTTATGGATGGATTGTGGTAATCATGCTTGCTGTGGTTGCGGTGGTTGCATTTGGCATATTAGCTGCTGTAATCTACAACAATAAAAAAGAGAATCAAAGGAATCAGGAGTTACAAGAACAACAACAACAAACTGAAGACGAAGGAGAGGAGAAGAAAGAAAAGGTGAGTAATTTTTTAATAAATTTTCAAAAAAAATTTTGTTTTTCAGGAATTTTGGCAATCACTAGGAAACGATGAAGCCATAAATGACTTGAACAACCGACGACGCCTTGCAGGACTTCCAACGCTAGAAGACGAATTTGTAGCGGATATCTTCAGCCGGATGAATCAACATAAAAAATCAAACTACCAGCAGCTTCTCTTCAGTGTTTATCTTCCGGAATTGAATGACAAATCCTTTTTTGGCGTTGGGACTTTCGAAAATTGGCGGAAGAGGGTAATAAGATTTGTAGAAAAAAAAATTGAATTTTATCCGATAATTTTCAGAATGGTTTTGTCCTTGAACAGTTGGGTGAGGCGGAGTTCAAAGCGAAGGTTAACAAGGCTGTCGAGAAGGCGAAGGCTAACAAGGCTGCCGATAAATACTTTAAAGAAGAACAGGAGAAAAGTTACTTCAAGACGGCCAAACAAGAAGAAGCGGAGAAGGCAAAGGGCAAAGTGAGGAAAAAAACAAAAATTTTTTAAAGAAAATTTTTTTATTATTACAGGGCAACGCTAAGAAGGACTCGACTCCAAAGAAGACGACAGGCGCTGTAAAGGGCAAGGAGGCGAAGAAGACACCAAAAACTCCACCGGGAAAGAAGGCTGCTAAGAAGTGATGGGAGGGGGAGAAGCTCTGTGAAGATTGTGGATAAGAAAAAATACTCGAAGTTGGGAAGATTTTTTGGAGAGATATAGAGAAATAATCTGTAAATCCATTCATTCTCTATTTAATTATTTCCCCTCTCCAAATCTCTCAACAAGAAAATACTTGTATTTCCCCCTCTATATCCCTATATTCATCCCTAAACATATATTTCCTTATTAGGCTATATGCCTCTATATATGTGTATAATCTTTTCCCTATATACACAAATTTCCCTATATATTCACAAATATCCCCAATATATTATTTGCAGGTTGATTTGTTGTTTTCCCTGCTATTTTTCATTATACCTATATTGTATTGTATGTATAGTATGTATTTTTCTGTATGTATTGTAATTGTTGTATTATTGTAATATTGTAGTTGTGATAAATATATATTTATGAATATTTGTTTTTTTAATTAGGTAATTTGGAACGTGTTAATTGAGATATCCCAATAATTAGTTGAGATATCTCCCGGACTTAATTTTAACCGGAAAATTTTTTTGTGTTTTTATTCCATTCCTGGAATGCAGCTTAAGTATTTTCCGGAACTATATGATAGAGACATAGAAAACAATTTACCATATTTATTAGGTTTGAGAACAAGTACAACTTTTCGAAATAAATATTTGAGCTTTCGATAAAAATTTCTATATAAAATTATGAAAATTAGCATTAATATTTAAATTAATTTCCAATTCGAAAACTTTTCCAAAATATTCACATAGAGGTTCAATTACATCATTTACTTTAATTTGTTGATTTAATTCGTTACTTATTGATGTAGTTGACTTATCCTTTAGACCACATGGAATTATCTTAAAAACATTATTAAATTAATTATAAAAACATTTTCCGGAAAAGAATTAATTCTCCAAAACATCTTCCGGAAAAAATTTTCCAGAGACGAGTTAATTTTTAAAACATGCACCGGAAACTCTAAAAACATCTTCCCGAAACAAATTAATTCTCCAAAACATTTTCCGGAAAAACATTAATTCTTCTAAACATTTTCCGGAAAAACATTAATTCTTCTAAACATTTTCCGGAAAAACATTTTCCGGAAAAACATTTTCCGGAAAAACATTTTCCGGAAAAACATTTTCCGGAAAAACATCTTCCGGAAAAGAATTAATTCTCCAAAACATTTTCCGGAAAAACATCTTCCGGAAAAGAATTAATTCTCCAAAACATTTTCCGGAAAAACATTTTCCGGAAAAACATTTTCCGGAAAAGAATTAATTCTCCAAAACATTTTCCGGAAAAACATTTTCCGGAAAAACATCTTCCGGAAAAGAATTAATTCTTAAAAACATCTTCCGGAAAGAAATTAATTCTTCAAAACATTTTCCGGAAAACACTCTTTTCTCATTTTCCGGCGTTATAATATGTATATTTTACTTACATAATCAAACCATTTAAGGTCTGTTTCACAATTTAAAGCCAATCCATGTGAAGTAATTCCATTTCTAACTTGTATCCCTATTGCCCCAATTTTCTTTTGTTCATTTATCCAAACACCTATTAAATTAATTTAAAAACCATTCATTTATTTTTATTTACCAGCATTCTCCGTTCTTCCAACATTTTCAAGTTTAAATTTTTCTTTAAGCATTTGAATTAATACTTGTTCTATAAAATGTTTATATGTAGTAATTTTAATAGAAAAATAAATCAAATTTAAGTTTCCATTCGAACTTTAAAAAATGTCTCTCGTATTTAAGTTATGAAAATTTAAAATATTTTTAGGAGTATTTTTAAGAGTTCCGGAAAAGAATTAATTCTAAAAAGTTTTCCGGAAAATAATTAACCCAAAAACAAGTCGTAAAACAAACATTTTCCGGAAAGGAATAATTATAGAAATACAATTATATAATTTAACTTAACTATAGAAAATACAAAATGCCGAACTCCAAAAGTTTTTTGATTTTTTGGAAGAGGCAAATTGTTTAAATTAAATATCTTGAAAATTTAAAAATATAATTAGAAATTTAGAAAAAATATTTTTACTGGATAAGCCACCAATTGTCCTGGCCCATGAAAAGTAATTAAACCTCCTCTTTTTACTCTGGAAAAAAAATAAAAATTAATTTAAGAATTTCTCAATCCCCAGCCAATGGGAATATTTAAGCATTTTTTTAAGGTCCATAAGACTTATCCCAGTATTATTTATCCATCCGATTTGGTCCTAAATTTTCGTGAACCTTCTATTTATAATTTTCCGGAAAAGAATTAATTCATAGCATAACAGTTCCCTTATAGCGGGATTCGATTATTTCTTTTCAAAATCATCGGATCAAACTGATTTTAGTGTCATTTAACTACGCTGGTAGAGCTCTTTCGAATGAGCCATTTTAAATTTTTAATCCTTAAGAATAGCCCGTTCTCTACGGTTTTTCGGCATTCAGTAGTCTGTATCTTGAGACTACTGAATGCCGAAAAATGACATTCACTCCTCCTTATGTACTCAGACCAAGCATTAAAGCCCCGTTTTTAAAACATTTCCTCCCACCTATGAAATTCAGCTCCCAATTTAACAACTTTATGTTCAGTCTCTTCAGTATAAACACCTTCACGTATACCAACAGTATATGCTGGAGGATTATGTTCAAACATACATAAATAATGCTGCAATTTAATTTGAACTAAAATTAATTTTTATTACCTCATTAGGTTTTTGTTTTAAACAAATTTGTTGAAAAAAATATTCTTGAATACGAAGACCTCAAAAAAAGAAAAAATTTTTAGAGAAACAGGATTGTCGGAAAAAATTAATTCATAAAACGACAGAAACAAAACAACAGCCTAAACACTTCAATTTTTCTATAAATTTCCGGAAAGTATTAAGTCTATGTATATTAATTTCCGGAAAACACACTCCCTGCTCTATCCCTCTAAAGTAAATATACTCTATAAAAAATACATATATTTTCCGGAAATAATTCTGATAGTATATTTTCAGATAGGTATATTAATTCTGAAATACATTCCCGGAAAATACATACAATCCTCTACCCTATTCATTAAATTTTCCGGAAATAACTCCAAAATTAATTCTTATATATTTTCTTAGTTATTTCTTTTTTATTACCCTTACAACCCCTTCTGAATAACCCAGAAAATAAATTCTATACTTCTCACCTGTTAAATAAGGCACTTCCCCAAAGAACAAAGCTTTAATCATTTAACTAGAAAAATTACTTTTTTAAATAAATAATAAACAAAATATTTTTATTTAGATTTAAACTAAATTTAATTTTTAAAAAAATTAAAAATAAAACAAAAATTAATTTTATTTCCCCCAAAAAATTTATTCAATAAATTTATTATTCTCTTTAAATTCAATTTCTTTATTTTCCTCATTTTTTGAATTTCCAATTTTATTAAATATTGGAGACGACAATAAACCCATTTTGGAAGATGGAACTCTTAAAAAATTTAATTTTTTTATTTAAAAAATTTTTTTCAATTTTACGATTTTAATTCTCTAGGCCCAGCAGCTTTGTAAAGACGAGTTTCTCGATATCTAAAATAAATTTATTTTTAATTCCAAAATTTTCTTTCTCTTCATTTTACCTCGGTTTCCACTCCTGCATATTTGTATAAAATATTTCCCTAAGTTCCAAATCGCTAGGCCCTTTTTCTTTTATTGGTTCTATGGAGTCTTTGTATTTTTGGATATTTTGTAAAAATTTCTGAAGAAGAAATTTTTTAATTAAAAATTTTTTTTTAATTTAACCTTTTTTTGTTCTTCTATTTGTGCCAAATCTACAGGTCTAGAATGCCTATAAAAATGAATTTTAATTTTCTAATAAAATTTTTTAATTCCCTCTACATATTTTACTTAATTAAAAATAGTAAAAGAAATTCTGTTATTTTTTCAGGATTAATTTTTTTACAACTTTTCCGGAAATAATTCTAAACATTTTTGAAGTATTTATTCCCGAAATAAATTTTTCCAGAATTTAATCTACTTATTTGTTCCGGATAGAAAAATAGGTAAAAATATAAACAGAGACACAACCGGTTACTTACACCTAGTCTTCAGTTAAGTCGATTTTCGATTATGAATTTTACTAGTCAAATACTGGTTTTATTTTATGGGAGTTTTTAAGAAATCAGTCATTTTAGCAAAACATTTTCAATAAATTTTATTTAAATTCTCTCTCAAATTTACCTACCCATAAGGAAAAGGAATAGAAGGGTGCCATGCAGCAACAACTCCATTTTTACAAACAACTGTTTGCCACAATTTACTTGCTGGATTTGACATTTTTTTTAAAATTTCTTAAAAATTATTAAAAAAGAAATTTTTAATTGAAATAATTAAATATTAAAAACATTTTAAAATTAAAAAAAGATTTAAATTTCAGAAAATTTATTTAAATAAAAAAATAATTTCTAAAAAATAAAATTCGTCCATTATTTAATTGTTTCAAGTTTTACAAGTTCGGCAGCATCCATCAACTTGAAAAAACAATAATTTAAAAATTTTATTCTTTTTTAAAGGAAAAAATTTTTTTTTAATTTTTTAAACCCAAAATAAATTTATTGTCTATTGCTCAAACCAAAAAAAATTTTTTTTGAAATTAAAAACTTAATTTACCCTTCTAATTTTTCTGTTATTTTTTTCAGAATTTATTTTTCTAAAACATTTCCGGAAAATTGTTGCGGAAAGAACGGATAAAAACAGTGAATGACTCCTCATCCGAGAAATTAAAAATTTAAATTAAATTTACCCTTCTAATTCCTCTCTTCCTCTTTTTTGTCTTTTTAATTCTCTTCTTAATATTATTATTTATTGTAATATTTTCTTCATTTTTGTCATCATTTTCTTTTGAAATTGTTTCTTTTTGTTTATTTTCTTTAATTTTTGTTTTTATTGCAGCCATTTTTTCTTTTTTTAATTTTAAATAATTTATTCTTAATTCTTTATATTGCTTACTAAAAATTGAGAAATAATTTATTTTTAATTTTAAAAAAATTTTTGGGACGGGAGACAGTGAGGTTCTTCTAAGTTTTTTCATTATATTAGTCTAACCATTGGTGGGAAAATATGGATTTACAAAAATTAATTTTAGAAAAATTCCAAAAATTAGACGTTTTCTAGGAAATAAAGACATTTCGTCCCACAACTTGAAAAAATATTTAAAGAAACTTGTGAAACTTTTAAAGATCTAGGAAATAAAGAAAACAAAAATTTATTTAAGGACAATTAAATTGTTACATCTATTCTTCTTTTTTAACAAGTTGGAGGACAAAATGTCCGTTCTCTTTTATGACTTTCCCCCCAAAATTTCCCTTATTTTAAATATTTTTTTTAAATTCCCTTTACACAAAATTCCATCAAAAAAATTTTTTAATCCCCCCTCCCTCAAAATTCCATAAACAAAGAATTAAATAAAGGATAAAGAACCGAGAAATTGAAGGAAAATGGGGAAAAATTTTTTTAAACCCTCAAAATTCCCTAAATTTAAAAACAAACTTACTAGGGAAAAACCTGAATATGTCTAAAAAGACTAGTTAAACTAAAAATATGATTACTCGTCTTGTTATTTGTTGTTGTCTTTCTAGGCTTTCTACGCCGACGATGTTTTTTAATTCCTTTTTGTAAAATATTTTCGTTTTGTTTTTCTTCCAAATCTGTTTCCTTTCCACTTTCGTCTACAGACATTATTGACTTTGAATAAAAAAAAATTTTTTTAATAAAATTAAAACAAAACCTCTGCCACCGATTGACTTCTCATTCGGGTCCGTGAAATTTCTGTTAGAGAAGGAACTTGTGGAACAATAAAAGAAGTTGGATTTGTTGCTTTTTCGTCTGGTTGAGTTGGAATTGGTTGAATCTAAATTAAAAAGAAAATATTTTTTAATCAGAGCAGACGAGGATTGAGTATATTTTGTTTAATTCGATATAAAAAGAAGATAATGGCTCGATACGATATTTTTCGCTATACGGTTTCAATATTTAACGAAAAAAACACCGACCGACCCCTCCGACCGGGCTCTAATAAAAAGAGAGACAATCACCCAAAAGTTTTTAATTATTTCAGGCTAGTCGGAGATACTTTTACCTTAATAAGAGTTCTCAAAACTAACCCCATTCAATTCTTTTATTTTATGAAGAGGTTCAACCAACCTTTTTTACTTTATTTTTATTTAAAATTGGACAAACCAAATAATTATTTACTATAATTAAACACAAGCTTAAAAATCCTCTCCTTCTCTCCCAAATTATTTAATTAAAAATTTTTAAAATTAATTTTTAAATGTTTAAAGTAACCTCTTCTTTTTTATTTTCTCCAATTTTTTCATCTGAACAATCTTTCATCAATTCATCTCTAATTTCCAAATTTTGTTTATTTAAAAAAAGTTTTGCTTTTTTATGTCTATGTCCATGAGAATGATGAGTTCGTTTTAAACGACTATTTAACTGATAACGCTGAAAATTGAAAAGAAAAACATTTTAAAAAATATTTAAATTACTCAATCTGGGGCCATTTCAATCAGCTTCGAATTTTGTTTCGATTTTAAATTCTTTACTAACAAAAAATTATGTAGCACGAATGGGCCAGCCGAAATTTTTTTCGACCCGAGACCAGCTCATAAAAATTTTTCAGAACTCAATCCGACTTTACCTTTTTAATCACCTAACTGACATGAGCCGACTCGAGACAGACTTTTTCGACCCAAAACACGCCTTTTTACTCAACCCGGTCCACTCCTGTTATGTATTCAGTATATTTCACAGAATCTGAAGGCAATTTTTTCTTTAGACTAATAAATCGAAAAATAAAATTTCTATCCAAATTTTTTTGTAAATTGTTCAAAAAACTTCAAAAAACCCAAAATGGAACTTGGCTTCATTAAAAAGAAAAACCTTGCAAAATCGTTTGGCAGCAGTTCTAGAAGCAAAATGAACAAAAGCAAATCCAGAATGTTGAATAGAATTGACATTTGAAGATTGAAAGATTCGTCTTTGAATACGTTTAGTTTGAGGTAAAAGAATATTTACAACTGAACCAAATTGTTTACATCGACGTTCAAGTAGAGAATGAGTACAATTTAAAGGTAAATTGTCCTGAAAAATTTATTTTAGAAAAAAAATTTAAATTTTTCTGAAAATAGTCCCCAAAAGGAATTAATTTTTTAAAAATAAATTTTTAGAATGAAAAAGTAAAATTGGTAGATTTTTAAATTAATAAAACCTCAAAAATAAACTTTATTAAATTTTTTTCTTTTAGCTTCTCTTTTTGAGTCATTTATTAATTTATTAATCTGGATTGATTTTTAATAGTTTGAAAGAAAAAAGTAAAAGAATTTGAGTACAGAATTAGGGCTGTCCGCCTTTGAAAAAATTGTATTCACAATTCAGTTTTAATAATATGAAATTTGCACTCTGAAGTTGCGGACAGTCCCGAACCTAACCAGCCTCATGATAAATAAAAGCTCGGATATCAAAAAAATAACCAAGATTGATTATTCAGACTAATAATTGATCTAGCCATTTTCCCACTAATTCCCCCAAAAAAGTTTTTTTTCTATAAAAAATACCAACAACATAAACAGTCCTTTCTTCGTGTTGAGAACGCTGTTTTGGATTTATTAATAACCAAAGCTGCACATTTAAAGATTCTTCTTCTTCTTTTTGTTCACATTTTGTTGGTAATTTATCAACAATTCGAAATATTCTAGTTATTTTCGAAACACTTTTTAAAGCTAAAGGAGATAATTGTTCAAATTTAGAAATTGCCAATTTTGGGAAAATTAATTGAAGTTGACTAAAAATTGAAGAAATTGGGGCGGCTAAAGAAATTAGGAAATAAAATTGAATTTAAAAAAAACTAAAAAAACCTAAAATTCCATCATTTAAGGTAGAAAATAAATCATCAGGCAAACGCTGTTCTTTCCCCAAAAGTGTTTTTTCAAGCTGAAAAAAATTAAAATTTAATTAAAAAATTTTTGGTAGAGCGACGCGCACCTATGTATTAAAGCTTTCCTTATTAGCTGACGGAATTTTACGAGATTCTATTCTGTAATCCCTCTTATTACAGGCAACTCTCTCTTCTAAATTGACCTTAATCTAACAATAAGGTACTTCAGTTAAAATTTGGATAGTTCGTGGGTAGGGGAAGAGGGAGGTGGTTGCTCGAGTAATACCTCCAATTTAAAATAAACTTAATTATAAGCTCCAATTTTTAACCTCCCTGGGCATTTCAACTTCATTTATGGAAAAAATCGGCAAGACCCTTTCGCACGACCAAGTGCAAAATAACTCTTGTGTGGAGAAAAGCAATTATTGAAAAAAATTTTTTAATTCAATAAAAGCTGTACCCTCAAATGTCTGCCAAAAAATGCTTCTAAATTAAATTTCCCCTAAAACTAACTACTCCAACCAGGGCTGTGCGCCGAAATTTTCGCGTGGCGCGCCAAACGCCAAACGCCAATTTTTTAAATTTTAAAAACACGCCAAACGCCAAACGCCAAAAATCGGCCAAAATCAACGCCAAAACGCCAAACGCCAAACGCCAAAATTTTTAGAGACTATCAAGACTCAAAACCCACTGTTCATCTCATTTTAGCGCCGCAGGCGAAATTTTTTGAATTTTCAAGCTTCCCAGAAGCCAGAATTCATCCTTTTTTACCGCCGGAGCGAAATTTTTGAGAATTTTGGAGGCAAAGAAGCCGAAATTCATCCTTTAAAAAATTTTAAAAATAAGAAATTCATAGAACTCCTTGAGATTAAGGTGGATATGAAGGGATAAAGGGAGTTATGAGTATAACAGAGGTCATGAAGAGAGTAAACGATTGACGGGACTAAAGTTTTACTTCTACCATCTATTAGTTTAAGATAAGGGCTTCCTCCTTTAAGCGCCGCAGGCGTAAATTTTTAAATTTTGGAAGTCCAAGCAGTAGATTTCTTCATTTTTTATGCGCCGCAGGCAAAAATTTTGAGAATTTTGGATGACTGTACGCAGAAAAATTTCCTTTTTCGATCATCCCTTTCTCCATTTATTTAAAAAAATTCCATCATTAGGGGTGTATATTTTTGGCGTTTGGCGCGCCAAAATCGGAAAATCACGCCAAACGCAAAACGCCAAAAATCGGCCAAAATTAACGCCAAAACGCAAAACGCCAAACGCCATGACGCACAGCCCTGACTCCAACCCCTCCAAAATTAATGAAAAAAAAATTTAACAAACCAAATCTTTTAATTGACACCTCAAAGCTTTTGTTCTCGGACGTCTTCGTTTTTTAGCAACATTTCTTTTTGTTGTTATATTTATTTGTTCTTTACTAGAGGTTTCTTCTCCACTTGCTAATACACTTTCTGGATTACTTTCTTTTTGATAATCCATTTAAAAATCTAAAAAAAATGAAAAAATTTCTAAAATTTAGAGAAAAGTAGAAAAAAAAGCAAAAATTTAAGTTATCAAAGTGACTTTGTTAAAAGTCAACGTACTTCTAATTTATACTGGATGGAATCCTGACGGAATTTTACGAGATCCTTTTCTGGAATCCCCAAGTCTTAAGCGATAAATGAGATTACGGGATATAAGGTATATACACCCGTGGGATCCTCTCCCGAACAACATTCTCTAAAAAAATTTCATTACAGGATACAAGAGTTGTGGCGATTTTGTCGCGCTATACTTCTAATAGTGTTGCTCAAATCCGGTAAATAACCGGTCATCCGGTTACAGGTTACATTCTTTTAAATTTTGGTCTCGGTTCGGCTGATCCAGTTAGATGCCCTACATCCTATAACCGCAAAAATTAAAAAAAAATGCTTGGAACTGAAAAGCCCAAGCCCGACAGAAAACATAAAAAAAGGTAATTGATGTATTTTGTGTTAAAATATTTAGATTGTTAGTAAAAACAATTAATTTAATAAATTTACAAAAAATTTTAAATTAAAATTTAATCTTTATTGCATCTTTTTGACCGAATAAATTAAAATGAAAATTTTTTAACTAGGATTTACCTCACGAACTCTTCAAACAACATGGGTTTTAAATTTAAAAATTTTTAAGTTTTACATATAAATTATAGCTCTTTCGAAAGAGCTCGTCGGCCTGAGTCAAATGGCACCAAAATCAGCTTGATTAAATCAGTTTGGGCAAAATTACGACCAATATAAACCGATCAAACCTATGGGCGTGGGACGCTTGTACATCTCACGGGAGTCAGATGCTTCGCCTTCTCAACCCAAAACAACAACCAAAGATGCCATAAAACCGTCAACTTCAAAGCCACCAGCAACACAACAAAATAACAACAAAAACAAGGATAACAACGACAACAAAAATATCCGAACCAAAAAGGACGAGAAGAAGAGACAAAAGAAGGTTTGTTTATGAGTACTAAGAGAAAAATAGGCATAAAATAAAAGGACGAAAAAAAGTACGAGCAAATTCAAAATTCCAAACTTAAAAAATACATTTATAAAAAAAAACCTAAATTTTGATCAATTTTTGAACATTCCTTTCTTCCAAAAAAAAATAAGGAGGAAAACAAAAATGTTAGAAAAAAAAAGGTTGAAGAGAAGAAGAAAAAATAAATTTCCAGTAAATTTGAGTTTTTTTTTATATTTTCTTGAAGTTTTTAGGATAAAATGTCAATCAGTATATGACTTTTCTTTATAGTGTTTGTGAACTAATTTTATATTTATTCAAAACTACAAGAAAATATAAAAAAACCTAAATTACTGGAAAATTAATTTTTCTTCTTCTCCTCGACCTTTTTGCCTCTAACATCTTTGTTGTTGTCCTTATTTTTTTGTTGTGGTGGCCTTGGAGTTGGTTGATAAGGCGCAGGAGTAGACGGTTGAGAAGGCGAAGCATCTGAATATTTTTATTAAGATTTAAAGTGTTTTTGGTTCGGACCTTCTTGAGGTAAAACCCAATCAAATGGTTTTAAATTCTTTATTTTCGCCTTCTCAATCAACTATTCAGATGCTTCGCCTTCTCAACCGTCTACTCCTGCGCCTTATCAACCAACTCCAAGGCCACCACAACAAAAAAATAAGGACAACAACAAAGATGTTAGAGGCAAAAAGGTCGAGGAGAAGAAGAAAAATTAATTTTCCAGTAATTTAGGTTTTTTTATATTTTCTTGTAGTTTTGAATAAATATAAAATTAGTTCACAAACACTATAAAGAAAAGTCATATACTGATTGACATTTTATCCTAAAAACTTCAAGAAAATATAAAAAAAAACTCAAATTTACTGGAAATTTATTTTTTCTTCTTCTCTTCAACCTTTTTTTTTCTAACATTTTTGTTTTCCTCCTTATTTTTTTTTGGAAGAAAGGAATGTTCAAAAATTGATCAAAATTTAGGTTTTTTTTTATAAATGTATTTTTTAAGTTTGGAATTTTGAATTTGCTCGTACTTTTTTTCGTCCTTTTATTTTATGCCTATTTTTCTCTTAGTACTCATAAACAAACCTTCTTTTGTCTCTTCTTCTCGTCCTTTTTGGTTCGGATATTTTTGTTGTCGTTGTTATCCTTGTTTTTGTTGTTATTTTGTTGTGTTGCTGGTGGCTTTGAAGTTGACGGTTTTATGGCATCTTTGGTTGTTGTTTTGGGTTGAGAAGGCGAAGCATCTGACTCCCGTGAGATGTACAAGCGTCCCACGCCCATAGGTTTGATCGGTTTATATTGGTCGTAATTTTGCCCAAACTGATTTAATCAAGATGATTTTGGTGCCATTTGACTCAGGCCGACGAGCTCTTTCGAAAGAGCTATAATTTATATGTAAAACTTGAAAAGTTCGTTGGTTCGAATCTATGTGGGAAAATTAATTTTTCAATCATCAAAAAATACCTTTCTGACCGTTTTGAGCACTTTATTGTGATATAGAAGAGTTCGAGAGGTAAACCCTTACCAATATTTTAAATAAAATTCTTCTTTAAGTCTTAAATACATCTTTTTAAAATCCTCTATTTATTCTTTAAAAATAACCAAACATATTTATTGCGACAGCTCAAAGGCACGGCGAGTAGATGATTGAACAGCTTCAATAAATGCCGAACGAACACCTTAAAGATTTGTTAAAACTAAAAATTTCAAATTAAAATACCATGTTTTTCAAGTTCCCTAACTCCTTCTATAGTCGTTCCAGCTGGAGAGCAAACTTGGTCTTTTAATTGAGCAGGTGATGGAGTGTCCAAAGTAGGAGACAAAGATGAAATTTTTGTCATAAAAAGTTGAGCTGTTCCCTATAATATTTCAGTACTTATCCATTTACACCAACAAAGTGAGACTTTGATTGAATAATCATAAATATTTATTGCTTAACCCAATTCGAATTAATTTTATATGATTCGAAGCTTTCGAGAAGCAACATCTTTTTTCCAACTTGATAAATCATATCTGATCACTGTTTAAAAAGTTATAAGTCATTGACGTTTTCACATTATTGGGTTCAACTTTTTAATCAGTGATCAGAACTGATTCATCAAGTTGGAAAAAAGATGCTTTTCGAAAGCTTTCGAATAATACAAAATTCATTCGTATTGGATTAAAAAGTATGTATCAGATCAATGTCGGCTTGCACTAATTCGTCGGTGTACAACGGATAAGTACCAATATCTCTCTTATTGTTAGAATTAAAATTATTAAAAATTCCAAACCTTAACCATATCAGCAGCAAGCTGATTTGCCAATTCACGACTTAATCCAGCAACAACACCGCCATCAGCTAAAGCTTCAATGACCAATGCAATCTATTAAAATTATTTTTGATTAATCAAGAAAAAATTGAAATTTAGTCAAAGTTATGGAGTGGGGAGTAACGTACGTAAGGCAAAAAAATCCAAAAAATGAAAAAAGAATAATAGAGAGAGAACGGTCCCATAAGACAAAGTGAACATTTCGTAAAGCCACATATGTAGGAATTATGAATGGATCTACTGACCGTACTCGAACTTTTTGAAACCCGAAGCCCAATCGACTACTTTCTCAACATATGATCCATTGCCCATAAAAATAAACTTACAAAAGCAGGCCCACAACCCGAAATACTCGAAGCTGCATTAAAATGTGCTTCATCAACACGAATACATTTGCCGACATAAGAGCTGAGAACAGAAACTAATTCTACCAATTCTTGAGGCGTTTCAGAGTCAGCCGATAAAACTAAAGTCCCACTGGAGACAGCACAATTAACATTGGGCATTAAACGCATACTGTGACCATCAAAACCGACAGACCTTAAAATTGGAAATTTAAATTTTTTAAAGGAAAATGCAGCCGAAACCTAATTTGAAAGTACTCTAAAAATAAAGACGTAACCAGAGGCCGGATTTCGACGGGAAAATTTCAGAATTTTGTCGTTTACGTTGGTATTGAGCAGAGATTGCTGCCTAAGCTATACACCCATTTAAGGAAACCCTAATTCATAGGTTTTTACAGCCCTATAGGAGAAATCTGAAAATGAGGTTCGCCTGTCCTTATAAATTAAAGAAAAATTTTCACAACAAACTTCAACTCCTTGTCAAAATGTTGAAGAGAAATTCCACTCATGATAGAAATACAAAGAATTCCTGGCAGCCCAAAATAAAACCATTCATTAGCCTTCACTTCATTAATAAATGATGGAAACATTTGTGGCTTTATTGCAATCAGAATAATAGCCCGAGGCTTTTTGACTTCAGAGTAGAAAATGTCTTTTGGATAGGCAGAGGTAAAGCCTTGAGAACGCCATGATTTTGCTGTAGCTTCAGAACGTGTGCAAATAAAAATGTTTGATTTGTTAATGAAACCTGAAAATTGTTTAAAAAATTTCTTAAAATTCCTTAAGAAATTTTTTGAAAATTAAAAAAAATTGTTTGAAGAATTAGAAAAAAATTCTCTTATCCCCAACCTGAGTTAACAAAACCAGCAACCAAAGCCTTGGCCATTTTCCCACCACCAATAACATTTATCTGAGGTTCTTCTTCGTTGAAGCATTCCAAAAACAAATTTTTAATCTGAAAATTTTTAAAATTAATTTTTACTTGATAAAATAAAAAATGTTCCCCAGTTAAAAAATAACAAATAGCGGTCACCCCCAATTTTTGAAAAAATTTTTTCTCTTTTTCTAAATTCTATTTTGGTGTAAACAAAGTTGTTTACAACAAAAAGACGACTGTTTAAAAATAGAAAATCCCCTTCCCTACTCATAAATAAAAGTCACAAGGGTGAAGGAGTGTGAGTGAATGTTTGTTGGGTGGGCATAAATAAAAAAATTTTTTTATCTTAACGTGGCTTTTTTTCTCCGTCCACTATTTAAACATAAAGTATTTGTTTAAAATTTAGATTTTATCTTTTTAAAAAAATATTAAAATTTAAACAACGAGAAAAGAATGGACGTTAAGCCTCCACCAAGTGCTCCTCAAGACTTGAAAGAAGTACAAAAAGAGAGTATGAATACTTGGAGACCTTTTTTGATTGGAAGTATTTAATGAATGATTTTTAAAATTAAAAATTTATCTCGTTAAAGATCGAATGCGTACCACTTCGGAAGATTCAGCAGAATCGTTTGATGCGTATGACAAGTCTTTTGATGCCTATGATATAGGGCATGTTTTCTTAAATTTTTTATATCCTTTTTATTACCAGATTAGAGGTGTGTGGAGCATAGAAAAGTTTCTGATCCGAACCGAGTCCAGATTTCCATATCCGTTGATCGCCCCCAGACCTATTCTAATATGAGGGGCAGGAAGCAACCCCCTAATCTCTAACAAAAATTATAAATTCAAAACCCATTTCTCCTTCGAAAAAAATTTTATTAAAGAAAAAAGGAACAACGCCGTCAAAGCTTTACTGAACAATTTTTTGGATCATCAATGCCCGGCCGTTTACGCAGCAACTCTACCACTACTGAATATGAGGGACAGGAAGCAACCTTCAAAAAGGTTGATTTCAAACAATTTATGAAACATCAAAGAAAAATTCTTGGAGATGATGAATGGCAGTAAATATAAACGAAGAAATTTTTTGAGTTAGCTGGTAAAAAAATTTAATTCAAAAAGAAATCGCGTCATTGTATGTAGACCTAATCTATTTATATATTTATCAATTGGAATAAAAATTATTTCTTAATATTGATACACCTAGCAATAAACAAAGACTGTAGGAGAGAGACGACTCGATTAGGGTCTGTAGCAGTGCTGGGTATGGCTCCGGGAGCTAGCTCCGGAGCCCGGCTCCGGAGCCGGCTCCGGCGGAGCCGGAGCTAAGATTTTGAAAACCCCGGAGCCGGAGCTGGAGCCAAGAATTTCAAACCCCGGAGCCGGAGCCAAGGTTTTTCAATTCCCCACGGCTCCGGCTATACACCCCTAAAGATGGGTTAGAGAAAAAGAAGTAAGCAAAGATGGTAGGCGAGAAAAGAAAAGGAAGAGAAAATTGAGACGGGAAAAAAAGATTTTCTTTCCTTTCCTTTGTATGTAGTTGTGGTTGAATGGATAGTGAGATAGGCTACGAGTTTTATCCAGTTATAGGTTCGAAAAATATTACAAAAAATGATAAATAATTTTTTTCCTTTAAAAAAAAATTATGATAGGCCTTTTTTAAATAAATAAAGCTGGATAAATTTTTTAAATTGATTAATTTTAGTCTCCTGTGAGTCAAATTTTTCAAAATTTTCGCCTGCGGCGCAAAAAAGGATGATTTTTGGCTTAAGGATCTTCCAAATTTTTCAAAATTTTCGCCTGCGGCGCAAAAAAGGATGATTTTTGGCTTAAGGATCTTCCAAATTTTTCAAAATTTTCGCCTGCGGCGCAAAAAAAGCGAGTGATAATGAGAATGAAAAATCAAATCCCCCTTAATCCAGCTTAATTCCCCGATATCGCCCTTAATTGACAAGATAATCCACCCAAATCCCGCTTAATCCGTTGATAACCCTCTTAATCCTCTTATATCACTCGACATCCCCCTTTATATACCTAGATCCTCCAATGAAAAATAATTCATTGATTTTCCACCCGGAGCCCGGAGCCAACATGGAGCGGCTCCGAAAATCGCCGGCTCCGGAGCCGGAGCTGGAGCCAAGATTTTGAAACCCCGGAGCTCGGAGCCAAGATTTTGAAACCCCGGAGCCCGGAGCCAACAAATGGCAAATACCCAGCACTGGTCTGTAGGCTATTAAAGTACTCATGGGAATTTAAGAAAAAATTTTAGGGCTTACACGGCACCAAAGTTTATGATACAATTTGCGTAAGAACTTTTTATGAGAATTAAAATTTCGAGAAAGTTATGCCGAAATCTCAAATGAATCGTAAAAATAAAATTATATAACCTTATCCATTACGACACACTACAAATAATTTTCCATAAACCTCGGTGCAGTGTAAATCACAGCAAGTTTCAACATTTTATAAAAGTACTTTGGAAAACTCACATTTTTCGTTCCATCCATCACTTGTTTACCAGTCAGTGCAATTTTCAAATCAAAGCTGCTTTATTCAAATTGTCTAAACTGTCTAAACAAAAATATTACAAATTAAATCAAAATTTAAAAATAAATTATGTAAAATTTGACATAATTTAAAAAATGTTATTCTAATCAAAGGCAGTCTTTTATTCAAATAAATTTAAGCGAAGGTTTAAAAAAATATTTTTTAAAAATGAGATTTATTTTAATCTTTTCCATGTTTGCTTGTTAAAATTGTCAGGGAGATCAAAATTAAATACAATGGCTAAAGGTGAGGCATTAAAACAAAAGCATCAAAAATATTGTTTGGCAAAGATTTAATCGGATATTCCAGCCAATAAACGTTGTTCTTCCTCGAATATCTAAAAAAATTAGAAAGAAAACTAAAAAAGAAATAAAAATAACCTGATGATGTCGTTCAAGTTTAAGCAATTTTAATTGAATATGATCGGTGACGTTTGGTACAGGGGAAGTTTCTCGTTCTAACAAATGTTCTCCTCCACCATTTTTCTGTCCATTTTGTATATTATCATCATCCACCACATTAATTTCCAAATTTCCCATATTTGCTAGAATAAGTGTAACAAGTAAATAACGAGAACGATCATATTCATTTGGAATTGACTGAAGCATCTGAAAATCAGAAAAGTAAAAACAAGTCCACCTTGTTATTTGAGAAACTGATTGTGAGATCTATCCCTGAAAATTAAAACCACAAGTTCCCACCACTAGCTGACTTTATTCGTCCAAAGCTAAACCCCATCCCCACCCAGAAAGTAAATAAAAGGCAAATAATTTTCAAATAATTTTTTTTTTTAAAAACCAAATGGATTCAAACATTCGGAATGAAACACAGCAGAAATATTTGAGGCAATAATGGAATTTTGAAAAATATAATTTAAACAAACTTGAGTAAAATCAACTTCAGTTCCAATCTGTCCATCGAATTTATCAAGAAGTTCATCCCCATATTGTCGAGTATCAAATTCACGATGTTGACTTTCTTCATCCAAAGCTAAGGTCATTCTTGCTTCCCACAATTGCATACGCTCACTGAATTTTGAAGTTGCGGCTTCTGAAGCAGCCCAATACCTTAGAAAAATCCGTGAAAAAACAAAAAGAAAATATCAAACTTTCGCAAATGAAAAGCAATAATTTCATCATAATCCATTTGGGAAGGCGGACGTTGTGGTAAATCATCAGGATTGAAATCGGCCTCAATTATTGTATCATCATAAGCATTTCGCATATTTTGAGCTAACTAAAGGAAGAAATTCAAAAATTATTTGTCTGAAAAATAAAGGGTAAACTACAGTTTCCGTACCAGGCTCAGAATTGAACGATTTATATGTCATTCGAAAGAGCACGTCGAGCTGAGTCGAATGACACCAAAATTTTTCAGCGGAAAAAGTTCTGAGCCGAGTTACAGACCCCTAAAGTTCAAAAAACCATAGGGGGGACCAAGCTGTTTTCTGGGGGTGAAAAATTCGATATGCAAATTATATCTCATTCGAAAGAGCTCATCGAGCTGAGTCGAATGACACCAAAATCAATGAAATCAGACGTCATTTGACAAAGTTATGACCGTTTGTTTTAGCCCCTTCCACAGGGTTTCGCGGAAAAAAGTTTTTGCCGCTGCGGAGGAAGCCGGGCATGTCGAGCGGAACGACGGCCGCCGCTTCGCTACGGTCGCCGCGAGCGCAGCGAGCACGACCGCAGCGAAGCACGGCCATCGTGTAGCGAAGACCATGCCCGGCCTACCCTCCGTAGCAGCACAAAAACAGTTTTTCCAGCGAAAATTCTGTTGGTCATAACTTTCTTCAAAATCATCCAATCGAGCTGATTTTGGTGTCATTCAACTCAGCTCGTCGAGCTCTTTCGAATGAGGTATCATTTGTATAATCGAATTTTTCACCCCAAAAATCAGCTTGGTTCCCCCTATGGTTTTTCGATTTTCGGGGGCCTGTAACTCGGCTCAGAATTTTTTCCGCTGAAAAATTTTGGTGTCATTCGACTCAGCTCGACGAGCTCTTTCGAATGACATATAAATCTTCAAATTCTGAGCCTGGTACGGAAACTGTAGTTAGGCCAAAATAAACCTTATCAGCCAAAGCTTTTTTATTTCGAGGTTTACTGCTAACCAAATGCTAGAAAAAATTATTTTTGATTAATTTCCAATAAAATTTTTAAAAAACAAACGTCAAAACCAGTGTACATATTTCTTATACCACCAAGAGAATTCTCCAAATCATCAACATCCAAAACATCACAAAGATTTGCTTGGGCGTCAGGAATGTCTCCAATAGGTTCATCGTCAATGACTTGGGCTGCTTAAAGTTTAAAATAAAATTTTTTGAAGGTAAATATTTTAAAACGTTCCAAAGCCCAATGAAAATCAAACAAATTAAAAAATCTTTCTATCCCAAAAATTCTAAACCTTTCCAGGCAAAATTAAAATCAAAGTTAAATTCCTTACACAATTCCTCGGCAATAATTTCTTCCAATACATCCTCACACTCATCATAATCACCAATCACTCCATTCTGTTGATTATCATTCGCATTATTCTCGTTCAAAGTCGCATCATTATCATGAAGTTCATCATCGTCGGGGTGATCAAAAACTGGGTCCATTACAGTTCGTTCAGAAGCGCGACGGGCAAGAATACGTTCTTCACGCTGTACAGCCTAAAATTAAACCAAGAAACTGATGAGAAAACAAAAATAAAAATTCTTTTTTAACCTGACGTTCCTTCGCCAATTTCTTTTGAAACTCAGCTCGTCTCTTTTCTTCGTCGTAAATCAAAGGGTTCAATGAAAATACTGCCTGAAATTATTTTTAAAATAATTAGACTACAGGGTTTCCATCTTTGCTAATCTAGAACCTCTTATTATATTATTTCTAGTCTAGAGAATCTAAAGCTCTATCCTCTGGAAAAGCCCGAGGTGAAGAAAAGTATGGCGAAAATGCTAATGTAAGAAATCTAAAAGTATTCTATCGCATAGCCAAAAATGGCCTCCTCTCCCAAAAAATAGACTTTAGCCACTGCTTCCGATAATCATGTATTTTAAGGAAAAATTCTAGTTTGAGTTCGCTCTGAAATCTTCTGGGTACTTTATGGATATGTCACCCCCCTTCTATTTTGAGTCTCAGAGTTTTCCTTAAACGTAGAAAATGGGCAGAGATTATTTTCTTCTCCATGTCAATCATTTTTCTTTCTTGAAGCAAAATACGTGAAATGTAGTAAATGTAGAAACAAAATGAGTGAAATGTAAGTACAAAATATGTGAAAAGGCAAAATAAACAAGCAAAATACTTGAAGAAGAAAAAATGATTGACATGGAGAAGAAAATAATCTCTGACCATTTTCTACGTTTAAGGAAAACTCTGAGACTCAAAATAGGAGGGGGGTGACATATCCATAAAGTACCATCTTCTGCTCAAGTATAAAAAATCTAAAAAATAACCTGATCCATAAGAAAACAATTAAATTGTCCAAAAGCAACATTTCTCTTCTTTAGACGATGACGAAACATTTGTGTATTTATATATCCTTTTACAGACCTTTCATTGGCCACACCTTTTTGTTGACATTCTCTCTTAAATTGAAAATTCAATTCAAAAATTATTTCTGAAAAAAACAACCTCAATTCTTCTATCCCTAGCAGCTATTTGTTTAGCAGGATCAGTAAAGCAATTTGCTTTCTTTTTGAACGGTTTGCTTTTTTCGTTGTTAATTTCTAATGGATCCAACAATTCCTTTAAATTGAAATTTTTTTATTTTTTATAAAATTAAAAACCAAACATTATTGTAAATAGCATCGACCCTCACGGAATTTCTCAATTCAGAATTACACGAAGACCTAAGTTCGACGGATGAATTTATAATTTCCGAATTTTGAGGTTGAAAAAGATCTAAAAAGTTGATTTTTAGGGTAAAAATTAACCTACAAAAAACTAACTAGAATGGTAATTATCCAAGCGAGTTCTGGCTGTCCGTTGTTCCTCAGCCTCGAGAAGTTCAGTATGCCCAGTAATAACTTCATTTTCATCGGCAAACCCGTTTACTTCTGGAATTTCGATGTCGTGATGATCTATGTCTAAAAATGATTTTTAATTAGTTTTACTTTAAAGAAAAAACCTTCATATTCCTCTTCCGTACTTCTCTCCAATAAAGGCTCCAAGACTTGAACAAACCCTCCAGGATCATTTCTTTGTTGAGCGTTGTTATTGTTAGCTTGCTTTTGAGGCTGATTTTGGTGCTGTGGAGTCTCAGAAAACTTTTCAATCAAAGAAATGTGTTGAAGATCCAACAAAGCCACTGACTTAAAAAAGTGAAAGTAAAAAAAGTACTCAACATAGGAACGTTGGTAGAAAAAAAGTAAGGACAAAAAAGGAAATGGAGTTTTGAACTCAATCCTAAAATTCTGAGCTTATATTGCCGTCAGTGTCTTACTCGTTCGGCAAAAGGGCACCAATGCCCATACCGTTGAACATTGTTAGGTCTATAGTCAGTCGACCAGAACTTGTAATAAGGCAAAATATAACAGAGAGGAGTTTGAAAAATATTTTGCCTAATTGAATACCATCAAATAAAATATAAAAGAAACCTCAAACATATGACACGAATTGATTCTAAAATCATCCTTCTTTCCAATCTGTTCCTTAGAATTTGTCCGAGTGTAGAGAGGCACATCAGTCTTTTCAAAATCAGACAACGGGATAAAAGCAATTGGAACAATCGGAAGTAGAGGAGCCGGTTTATTGCTTAGACGCTCCAAAAGTGACCTCATATACGTGAAGCTGGTCTAAAAAAGAAAATAAATTTCAATTAAAAGCAAAAGAATACTTTTGGTTTTTGCTTTTCGTGCCTAACTTCTTGGTTATCATCATCAGCCAATTCCCCCTCTTGATCATCATTAGCGTCTGAAAAAAATTTTTTTGAACAAAATTCAGAAGAAAAAGTTACTTTTCTTTTTATTCTTTCCCTGTGGTTTGTCCTCCTTCAGTTCGTCAAAGAAATTTAAAGCAATTTGGTGAACATATTCTATTTTCTTCACATAAACATTTGTTGTCCCATGAATTAAAAGTGCTGCTTCCGCAAAATTAAAACTGAAACCAATGAGATTAAATACTGGTAAATGTGACGATAAAGATTTCATTTCCCCTAAGTTTCTTCCCCCTCAAACACCTTTTAATTCGACTTTGGATCAGAACAATCGACAGGTGCATGGGGTTGGGATTTCGAAATCAGAAACAGAATTTACTTTTTAGCACCACAGAAAAGGCAAAGGAGGATTCAAGATCTAGCAAGAGGAATGTACGGGCACAAGGAAAAGATGTCTCCAACTTGAACCCTTATTAAGTAATTCTCAAGGCCCGCCTTTCAGGTAAAACCCCAACTTAAAGGTAAAAACAAACACTTTTCTGCGTCCATCACTTCCGACCAAAACTGCATTTGAATCTTCAACGACTTTTTGAATATAGTCCTCAAGTGTTTTGGCTATGTCCACATCCCAATTGCTTGCCAAATCTTTCACAGGTTGAAGTAAAAATTTATAGCGCTCCCCTGCTCCATCAAAGTCGAAAATCTCTGTTGTCATACTTAAAAGAAAAGGAGTTTTATTTATAATATATCAAGGATGGGAGATGGAAGGCGGAAGAAAACGGAAGACGAAAGGCAGCCGGAAACCGAAGAAATCCCGGGTAATAGTGTCGTTTCCAGTCCCCCTTTTTTCCTCTCACGTTTTCCTATAATTTGTACAGAATGGACAGACTTTTCCTTCCTTACATCACAATTGCCTTGCTTTCTTTCTAAAGAACTGAATAATCCTTTTTGATTGTTTGTGGGCAGAATATAGTAAGGCAATTGTGATTGAAGAAGGAAGTCTTGCCATTTTGTAAAAATTATAGGAGAAAAAGGGAGGATCGGAAACGACAATATTACCAAATCCCGACCCAATCTATATCAGGAATGGTTAGGGTTACACGAAAACATTTTCTACTAGACGAAAAAATCAAAATTTTGGCGTCTTTTGCGCAAAAAGTCGTCGATGAAAACTGCAAATCAACTTTTTTCTTGAAAAGTTGTTTTAGAAAAATCAACAATTATTCGCGCTTTTTTTAATTCACAACGCCAGAACAACGTTAGCATCAACATGACTATTTCTAAATCTCTTTTTCTCTGCTATCTTTATATTTCTCTTCTCTTTTTCTATTAATTTTCGTTCGAAACGTGCCAGTTGAGTGCCACCAACTGAGTGCTGCCAACTGAGAGCGAGCAACTGAGAGCGGGCCATCTGAGTGCGGCCACTGAGAGCCCCTCAAGGAAGGGCCAACTGAGTGCGGCCAACTGACAAATGAGAGCCCCTCATGGAAGTGCCAACTGAGTGACAGTAATTTTAATCAACAAAAAAATGCTAGAATATTTTTTTGTTTGTTTTTCTTTATTTTTACTTTCCAAAGAAAGTTTTAAATGGCAGCCGAGATGACTTAAGACTTTTTATTGAAGTCTTGGTCTCAATTTTGGGTCGCTGGAAAACCCAGACTTGGTAATGGATACGGTATGGATACAATTAATTTCAAAACGCCTGCGGATATCCGCCTGTATCCGCAGTAAATATCAAAGATACTACACGACTGCCACGCTGCGGTCGTGTTCGCTTCGCACATGTGTGATTAAAAGTAAAATAAATGGAATTTGTGTTTAATCATAAAAAAGTTTATAAAAAAGTTACTATTATAAAAGCCGATGGATTAATTATATTATTTCATTTATCCTACACTATTACCTACATAGGTATCCTTTAAATTTTTTATTCCTTCATTTTTTCATACTTTTTTTAAGATTGTCTAATTTCTTCTTTATTCAATGCAAGGGCCAGAGTTTGATCTCGAGACTGCTTCTTCCTTTAGTGAGTTAAATACGGCGAGTTCGACGAGTACTTCCAGATGCTGCAATAACAAGGCGTGTAAAAGCTGCCAAATTACTTCCAAAAAAGCGTACAATAAGGCGTTGAGGCGTTTAAAAATTTACATTGATTTATTGGTAGGTTAGGGGATAATAACATTTTACATTTGTTTATTTAGGATCTTTTAATCAAAACAAGTCTTCTCTACATTTTTGTGATGCCTCTAGTGGCCTACTATTTTCCCTACTATGTTGGCACAAAATTATGCATTTTTATTGTTGTTGTTAGTCTTCTTGCAATGTTTGGATGTTTTAAACAGAAAATTTTTTTGTTTTATCCAACTTTTGCCTTACATGTAAGAACAGAGTTAAATTGACTAAATTATTTTTTTTCTTTCAGCTTTACCTTGTTGCTGTTTATTTAATTGGTCTTCTTCCCATGCCTTTTTGCCTCTTTGAATTAGATGAATGTAAACAAATTTTTGATGATCCCATGACTGGAGGAAAATTGTTGTCAATCTATACATTTGGCTTTACACAGTGGCGCTTTTTGCTTATGATATTGAGACTTTTTTGTCTGATTGTAATCTCCCTAAATTCTTACAATATCTGGAAAATTATTAAGGTAGTTGAAATCATTTATTGACCCTTAATAAAATTTTTGTTTATTTTAGTTGATGCCTACTTATACTCCCGGTATGCATGGTATAGCTATAGACGTTCTGAAATTAAATTCAAAGAGAAGGGAGCGGTTTTATGAAGGGCTTTAATTAAGAATCTGATGGACGAATGATGAAAAATGAAAATTTTTTTTAATAAAAACAAATTCCTTTCATAAATTTGTATATAATATTTTGCTCTAAATCAGAGCTGTTTCGAAATTTTATTTCCGAGTTCGAGGATTTTGAAAAATATTTTCGATTTCCGATTTTTGAAGATTTTTTGTTTCGAAACATCTTGTACATATTTTTTGTGTAGGGCATATTTTTTGTGTAACATATGTACATATTTTTTTGTGAGGGCTTGGGTTAGTACTTGACTTTTAGTTTAAAAATGTATCTGACCTCAAAATTTTGCCTGAAAAATTCTCATTTGAAAAGAAATATTGAGAAAATAATTTTTGAAATTATTATCGCCACCCTTCCCCATGTACTTCTAAATTAAACTTTTTGTACTTAAGCTTGACTTTCTGATCCAAGCCCTGTTATTATATAATGTTGATTTATAAAATAAATATATTTATTCTTGTTGAATTATTTAAAACCCTTTTAATTTATAAGTTTGAAAGTTCAATTTCTTTAAGTTTGAGTTTTTTTTCTTTAAGTCATAAAAATTACAGATAGCGCTCGAAAAATTAAAAATCGTAAGAGAATTAGATTTTCTCGTCATCTTTTGTCTTAAAACTGTTCCACGAATTTTGTTAGCTGAGAACTTCGTATTTACTAATTGAATTTTGTAATAATTTAAATTAGTTATGTTTCAGCTCAAGAGAGCAAAAAATCGGAAGGCAGAAGAAAATCCAGATGATGAGATATTTTTATTATTTTTTGGAATGATAGGTTAGTAGAAGAGAAGTAATTGTATATCATAGCGTTTAGGAAACTAAATTTTTTAAAAGCAGAAATAAGGTATTGGATGATGAGGATGCTGAGAGTGAAGAGTGCGAGGAATAAGTGAGATTTTATTATGATTTTAGCAAGATAAGTGACAAGAAGAAAATCAAGAGGTGATGAATGAGGTGATGGGCTGATTTGAAACCCCATAAAATTTATTAATTACGGGAAATGATGTATATTTTAAGTACTGGGGGTCATTTTTAATCTATAGGTTGTTAGAAAGAGCACCTTTTACTTAATAATAGTAAAAACAATCTATGCTATCTAAATGAATTTTTCTCGAGATATGCTGTTTTAAATAAATTTTCGTTAAATGTAGATAAACTTTTGGATCTACGTGTGTCCTCCTAAAAAATAAATTTATTCAAAAAATCAAGACATTCAAGTCGAAAACATTTTATTTAAATATTTTGAGTTTTTGGCAGTCTTAATCCAACTAATTTTGCTGCTTCTTCAGTACTACATTCCTCTTTGTAATAAATTGAACGTAATTCACGGAGTTTATTCTGGCTTTTCAAATAGGTTGCTGTTAATTCTCCCAAGCGAATTAAATCTTTTTGCTCTTTTTGAGAACGCATTTGTTTCACTACATAATTGTAAAGTTGATTGTTTTTATTGAAGTTCTAAATTAAAAAATGAATTTTGGGATTGAACGTGAATAGTGAGTAAAGTGAGAATAAAAATATTAATTATTTGGCAGTCGCCCTCCTTTTTCCCGATTTCTATTATAGATCCTTCGACTCAACTCTCCGAGCTGTGTCGAATGACACTGAAATCAACGAAAGCTTACTTAAGCGAACAAAGTTATGACCACTTGATTTAATCCCTTGCAGCGCATAAAAATTAAGCCCTTCCAGCAAGGATTTGGCTTCATTATTTTGTTCAAGATGATCAAATCTAACCGATAATGGTTCGACCCAGCTCGAAAAAAGGGGGGCGACTTCCAAAGTATCGCCATTAATTGATCAAAAAATAATTGAAACCCCCATCCCAACTTATTACATTTTTAAATTATTTTAACACCTTATCGAATCGTCTTAGTTCACAAACTATTCCTTTGTAAATTGATAAAGCAATATTTCTTTGATTGATAATCATTTGTATTGAGAAAAGTTTTATCTAAAATAGAACTCTCTTTTTTTAGTATAAAAATGTTTTGCTAAAATGGTACACAAACATTTGCGAACGAACTGGGTTTATTATTAAAATATTGAGTTTTGGAACTCATGTCATTAATAATTAATTAACCTAGGTATTGCTTAAAAAATGAAAAAACCAACATAAAAATTAAAAAAATTTGTTTAGTATTCAATTAGAAAGTGTCCCTGCAAATGTTCTTTCCCCCATATTTTAGTCAAAAAATATTTTAAAATTAAAAATCAGCAAAATTATAAAGAAAAAATTTGTATGTAGATAAAAAAAATATTTATTTTTGAAGGCTGTATATATTACAATTTATTAGGGTTTTTATTAACAATAAATAGAGAATGGAATTTTCGTTATTAAAAAACAGCACTAATACACAATAGGGTTGTCAGATCCGGATCCGAAAAAAGACTGAATATCCGAAAATTTCCAACTATCTGATAACCTTAATACACAACTGTATATTCGTTTCTAAAAACAAAGAGATCCATAAAAAATCCAATCTCTATTCATCCCACAATAAAGGCAAAAAATAATTAATGTTTAAGGTGAAATATTTACACAAACACATATTAAATTATTATTAAAATTTCTCCAAAATTTTTTGCGTTTTTTTTCTTATCAAAAAAGGACTTTATAAAAGTCAATTTTAAAATTTAAAATAAATTTCTCATAAATTGATTTCTTGCCACACAAATTCTTTTACTTTGCCGTCGTCCAAGTTCTGAAGAAAGTGGGGGAGGTGTAAGGGTTTTTTCTGGTAAATTATCAGTTTTTAGACTATTTGTTGTTGCTTTTCGACTTCTTCCCCCTCCGCCTTTTTCATTTTTTATAATTTCGGGCTCTTCAGTAATTTCTTTTCGTTTCCTATTTTTTGGTGTTCCGGATGCTGTAGATGGGCCAGAACTTGTTCTTTTTTCTTTAGAACGAAGTTGTTGGTTTTCTGCTCTAAAAAGAGAAAAAATTTTAATTTAATTTTTAATCGGTTCATTCATTTGCGGAAATATGAAGGGAATGAAAACAAAAAAGCTACCTATTTCAATTATTTATTTCTCGAACCAAACTTATAAATACACCTTAGAAATAGAAAAACTGGGACTGAAAAATTCAGTTCCTTTCATTTTTAATCAGCTCCTCTCAAATTAAAAAACATCTTAAACATAAGTGTATCTTGTGAAAATATAGTAAGAGAGCAACTGTACTACAAAAACATAACGTGTAAATCCCATTTAAGCCAAAATTAAAAATCTAATAGTTATTTAAGTCCTCAAATTTATTAATATGTATATCCAAATTTAAATTGCTTACTTTAAGGCAATATTTTCAGAAATAAGTGTATTGTTATCAGTCTTTTGACAAGCCAAATCAATTTTTAACAATTGAATAGAATCAGAAGCTCTCTCCAAATCAGATAATGCTTTGTCTGCACGCTTCTTTTGTGTTGCTGCTTTATTCTTTTCAGTAAGCAATTGTTTGTTTAATTTCTTCAATTGGGCTTCCAATTCTTCAAAGCGTTGTTGCTGGAAAAAAATAAAAATTTTTTGAATGTTTTTAAATTCTATTGAAATATTTTAAATTAGCGTACAAAACACAAAACTCTGAAACAGAAACAGGTGGAAGATTCTCATAGCCAGGTGGAAGACTATAAATAATTCTCAAAAAATAATCCCATTCCCCGAAAAGTTAACATAGCTACACTTCTGATCAAGAATGTTGTAAACAAATTTTAGAAAAATAAAAAACATCCCAGACCTTCCCTCACCTTTTAATGTTTATTTGCAGTATTAATAACTCTGACTTTCACCCAACTTTAAAAAGAAAAATTTCCTTTTAAATTTGACCCATTCCGAAACAAAAAAATTCTTAATTAATCTCAAAAAGTCATTTTTAAAAATATTTCCAAACCTGTTTTTGATTTGGAACAGTTGAAACGTTCCCCGGTACATTTGTCGTAGTACTTGTTTGTTTCTTTATTTTAGCCTCCTAATTAATAAAATTTTAATTTTAAAAATTTATTTAAAAAACAAAACTGCTTGTAATTGTCCACCAGCACTCCCCAACTTCTCCTCCTCTTTATTTATTTGCCCAATTTTTTGTTTTCCTCTTTCATTAGCTTCCAAATCAATTTTTTCAACAACATCAGTTTTTAAAATAATATTTTCGAATTTTTGCTCATTTTCTCCTTTCTTCTTTTTACGCCCTTTTTTCATTTGATTATTGTCGCTTTTATCTTTTTTAGGATATCCAGCCTTTAGAGCATTCTAATAAAAAAATTTTTAGTGAATTTTTCTCACAAGGGAACATCATTTTACAACAAGTCGAATTTTATATTTTTATCAGGACCATAACCAAGATTTTTACGGAGGGTTGGGGCAAGGGGGAAATTCCCCATAGATATGGGCCAGATATTTATTGATAATTTTTTAATAGAGGAGACTTGAGTTCAAATTCAGTGGAAAATGTCAAATAAATAATAAACTCGAAAACATTTCAATAGACCCAATAAGCAGCTCGTACAAACTTGGACAAATTAAAAAGTCATATTCCAAAATCATATTACCAAAAGAAAGACTTAAACCGTAACAGTAACTTGAAAGTACCTAACCAAACTGTATCAATGAAAATATAAAATTCGAATGAAAAATTTGCCCCTTTCAACTTTAAAAAATTCAAATAAAAACCTCTTGAATGCTAGCTTCTTGGCTACTACTGTCAGGAGTTTCTTGTTGATTCTGGATAGGATGGCGATCATTTGTTGTTAAAATTGTGGAAGTTGGAGTAGGAGTTGAAGGAATATTTGCATTTGTTTGAAGAATAATTTGTGTATTTGTATTTCGGTTTCCTCCTTGGACTTTTAATGTCTAGAAAATATTTTGTTTTAACTTTAATAAACCACAAAAAATTTAAAATCAATGACAGGAAAATTAAGAAAAAAAAGCGTCTGGAATTGGAAAAAGAAAATTCAAGCCAACCAAGTCGGTTGGTTGGAATAGTGGTTCAAATAAAGTTTGAAGTAAAGGACCCTAAATCGAAAAAGCAGCAGCATATTAAAATCTGATTTTTCTCACATCAGCCACAATTAAGGATTACAACTTTCTTACAATAATTTCTTAATATGCTCTTCCCTGTCTATAACCATAAAATTAAAAAAACCTGAATAAGCTCTTGGACAGTCATATTTTGTTGAATAGCCAAATCCAAAGGTATTGCTGTTGTCGCTGTTGTTCCCCCACCAATATTCCCAACATCACCAACAACTGGTTGACCAATAGTGTAAATATGTTGTTGTTGCAAACGAGTTGTTTGGATTGATGGCGAACTTATTAAAGGTGGATAAACTTGTTGTTGATGTTGTGAATGGATTGCTGTTTCTGTCATCATTTGTCCATTATTGTAAACATTTTGACGTGATTTGTAAGTTGAGGATGTTGGAGAGACTGAAGGAAGTCCTCCAAAAGAAATTTGAGACTGGGGAAGTTGAATTGGTCCGCTTGAAGAGAGAGGATTTTGAAGGAGGACAATTGATTGTCCAGGCGAAAAATGACTAAAAAATTGACAAAAATAAAAAAATAAATTTAAAAAATTGCCTGAATGCTGTTGTAGGTGTAGCTGTAGTCAAAACTCCTTCATTTGTCACAGAAGCCAAAACAGTCCCCCCTTTCTGTTGCTGGCGTAATATTGAGTCTTCTGCTTTCATCTGCCCCAAAACAGGAATTCCAGAACGTTGTTGATGAATCATCTTTTGCCCTCCACTAATTCCTGCCCTCTTGTGGTGTGATTTTGGAGGTATAAAATGTCCAGTTGGGGCAGTCAACTCCCCTTCAAAGGGCTGATTGTTGCGAATTTTTTCCATAACAACAGACACCACATCATCTTAAAAAATAATTTTTAATCCGAATCAATCCGTAAAAAGCTCATAATGGTCAGGAGAACGAAAAAACATGGGGCGACTTCCAAAATATCTCGAAAATCCTAAATCAATCCCCCTCACTTACCAATAGTTTCTGAATGTCGACGAGCTATTTCTTCTTTTGCAGCCAACAATTTTTCAACCATTTGTTTAGTTTCTATATTTTCTGTCGTTGTCGTAGTTGGTTTTTTATTATTACGGGAATACTTGTGAAGAGTATTTTTATTTTGTAAAGTTTCCCCTTTTTGTTCCTCTAAAATTTTATCTTCTTTACGATTCGATTTTTGTTGGTCTTTTTCTGTCGTTTGTTTGTCTAGTTGATGGTCATTATTATCTATTTTTTGCTGTCTTCTTTTATTTTCTTCAATTACTTGTAAAAGTGAAACTGTCGTAGGTGATGAAGTTTTTTGGCTTGAAGAGGATGAAGAAGAGGCAACACCTTCTAAAGAAATAAATTTATAAAGTTTAATGAATAATCGTCCCCTCAAACGTTTTATTCTGATCTTCCTAGGGTTTACTGGTTACTCTTTTGAATTAGATAACTGGGTCTGTGATAACTGGGTCAAAATCATCATTTGACCCTCTGTCGAATTATTGGTATCCTTTTCTGTTTATTATATACCAATTTTTAAAATTTGAAGGACCCATAAAACAAACCCAAATTTTTTTGTAATAAACCAAAGGATGAGCATATACCTATATTCGTTTAACTCTGACCCTGAACTCGGGTAAAGTAACAACACCCAAAATAGAACACAAAAATGTAAGCAAAAAATCAGGAAAATCGTCAGATAAAAAATCATCATTTTTTTCAAAAAAATTGTCACACTCCCTTTTTAATCAGTAAAAAAATTTGTCTAGCCAAAAAACAAAAAAAACTAACCTTCAAAAAATTCGTTATCTTCAACTTCCGAATATTTTGTTGCATCTTTTCTCAATTCTAACGAGTCTGGTGAGACAAAAAAATTATCAAAATCGGCCGAAGATAAGGCATCAAAAGAATTTTTGGTCGACTCTTCACAACCCTTTTCTTTTTGTTTTTCATTGAATTCTTTGGTCAAACGACGTAAATGACCAATTTTGTTGCGAAAATAAGTGAATGACTCGCGGGCGTTTTCTGCTTCTTCATTTTTTAATTTCATTCCTCGGAGTTTTAAAAAGGCGAACCACGCATTTTGAATTCCAAATTGTGCAACTAACTGAAAGAAAAGGGAAATTTTTGGACTGATAAAAAGTGACATTTATATGAAAAGGGAATTAGAGAGACGTGTAACTAACAATAAACTACAAATAAAAGTTCCGGAAACAGACACATTTTAGTTATTTTCTACATTACTGGATCCTAGAAAAAATGAGCAAACAAATTCGAATTTGGGCCGGATTAGGGTCCGGGATTCGAAATACAATTTGTTGTTTGTCAGTAGGTAACCCTGTTAGGTTAACATTCGTTACCGAAACAACAAAAATGACACGTTCTTTTTTAGAACCAATAAACATGAACCACCAAAAAAAATTACGAGAAAAATCGTTTTTAATAATTGTTAAATGTCAATAATTTCGAAAATCATGGAGACTTGTAAGATAAACTCAGATTTGTGATCAGTAAAACCTAATTGAGTCAGAAAATAATTTTGGTAAAAATATGTAGAATTTCTAGAGACCCTCACCCCCCCCCCCCCCCCCCAAAAAATACCCATAATTCCCATCAATTAAAATTTTCAATAATAAAAAATACCTCAACAGCCATTCCATTTGAAACAGTAACTGGCGGTCCATTATAATCAAAATCAACAGAAGTTGTCATAATTGTTTGTAGAAAATGTGTAGTTTAAATAAAGGCCAAAGAATAAAAAGTAAAATTTGTTTATAAGTGTTCTAAAAAGTGCAAAAAGAAGGAAATTTATTTTTATTATCCAAGTGTTATTTTTGGATCAATTGTCTTCCCCCCCCCCTCCTTTCCCCAAAAAAACAACAGAAATTATTTAATTTTCAATTCCCCCTCTTCTCCCACCCTTCCCTCAAAAACAACAAAAAAATATTTTAAAAGTAAATTAACAACAATTAACAAATAGCTATTACGAAAGAGAAAAAAATATTTATTTTATTATAAAAGGACGATCAATTTTTGAGTTTAAGAAAAAAAACATTGGCGAATGGTTTATAGGCTGTCATTTTAGTTAAGAAAAAGATGGGGGACAAATCATTCGCGTTGTCTCGTCTAAAAACTAAAAAAAACTTGCATTACTTGTATATTTTTCTCGCAAAAATTGTTTGGCCTTTTTAGAGAGAAAAATATGACGAGAGTTGACACCACGCCAAAGCACATGTAAATGGGGAAAAGAAAAATAAGGGGGGAGATAATGGCGTATTTACCGATGAACAGTAAAAAAGAAAATAATTTATACCATTTATTTTGAGGGGCTGTACTTTATTTTTTAATGGCTGTCAGCAGAGAAAGAGAGCAAAAAATTGTTTTTAGTTGAGCAGACATGAAGTATATTGAAGAGGGACAAAATACCGTCCGAATAAACTACAGTCCAAACAATAGAGTAAAAAGTACCGTCCATTTTTGGGTAAATTTTAAACAAAATTTTTCAGCAAAGGAGCTAAAGTATTTAATACCCAATAATCTTAGGGTCTAAAGGTATCTAAAAAAATAATACTGACAGAAATCCAATTCATTATTTTTAAAGGTGGCCAGTTTTTTACTCTAATGCCCTGACGGGATTTTGTTCGACGGTGTTTTGCCCCCCAACCAGCGTATATTACTCACACTATTTTCTCTCTAACATCACAGGATTCCATCGAAAGCCCTCCTCCCCCTTCGATAAATGAAGAAATAATTTTTTTATTAACCAACCTCTCAATTCGTTAAATCCCACATAATTTGTCATTTTGCCTTTATTAATTAAAAACATCGAAAAATCAAAAAAGGATTTTGTCTCAAAAATTTTTGATTGTCTCTTGTTTTATTCTTCTTCAATTTCGTCGGCTCGAGCTAACATATTTGGAATGCCTTCACTAATAGGAAAGATTCGATGAGTTTCCGGGCATTCCATTTCACCCTCCACAATTTCTACACCCACCAACAGTGAATACATCTAAAAATACAGAAAAAAATTTTCACTTAAAAAACAGACGCTTTGGATAGACTTAAAGATAATATTGGAATGTTTAGTATATCGAGGAGGCGAGAGAAGGATTTTTTGAAGTCTGTGCCCAGGCCTGGACTAATTTTGAAAACAATAAGGGCCGGATCAAAGACCCAAAGCCTTGAGGTCTTTGTAGACTCCTCAACTTGCCCTAAATCCTCCCTCCCCCGATCCTGAGCAAATAAAGGTCCAGGCCTGGACTAATTTTTGAACTCATAAGGGCCAGATCAAAGGCTCATAAGGGCCAGATCAAAGGTCCAAGTCTTCTTGGACTCTCCCCCAACTGCCCTAAATCCTCCCTTCCCCGATCCGGAACAAATAAATTAGAAAAATCCAGTATTGACCTCCCTCAAAAACAACCCCAATTTAATAGAAAAATTAAATTAACCTTTTTCAAAAAATCAGAATTACTCTCCCAATCATTAGGCAAATTACTGGGCAAATCAACAGCCTGTTCCTGATCCACAATTTGTGCGGCATCTCGAAAAGCGTTATAATCCAATCTCGGCATCATTTGTTTTACAAATTGTTCAGCATCGTTTTCGCCCAATTCTATTTTCTAAAAATTTTTTTTAATTTAAAAAAAATTAAAAGAAAAACCTCGCTTTTAGTAACACGCAAAATTAAAGGAAATCCAGTATTGACTCCTTTCAAAAATTTTGAAGAAAGTAAATTATGTAAAAGCAGTTTCATTGCTACTAAAATAGCTTAAAAGGATATCAGACTGAAAAAAAATTAATTTTATAATAAAATAAATTTTCACTAAAAAATTAGTAAAAAACAGGAAAAAGAGCTTCTTATTTCCCAAGTTTGATCCGTAAAAAATTTTTAGTAAAGAGTTATTTTTGAAAGAATATACAAATTTCCGGACTTTCAAAGAAATTTCTTCATAAAATTTTTAGATAGGCTAAATGTTCAACCTTTGAATTGTTTCTTCCACGAACTGACCCAGCGCTTTTTAAAAAAACGAACAATTTTTAATAAAATATAGAAATAGTTAAAATAACTATTAAAAAATAAATACGGAAAAAATAATTCAAGACATTTTATCCCAATAATAAAAGAAAGAAAATTGTTCCAAACAAACCTTTAAAAATTGTAAATACTAGAGAATAAGCACAAAAAAATGAAAGAATATTTTATTTAATAACGTATACTTTGGTTTGTTCCTCTCTCCAAAATTTTATTAATTTTATCCAATTCTCTGTCAATTTTCTTTTCATTGACCGCCGAAACATTTTTTCGTGTTTTTCTTCCACCGCTAGTTTTTACTCCAAATTGGTAAACAGCTCGAGGGTGTGCTTCTCGTGCACTTTGGTAACGTTCATAATCTTCTTGAGTGTCAAAGTCCCAACGTTTTATTTGAGATTTTCGATTGCCCTGATAAAATTAAAAAATTTAAATAAAGATATTAAAAGTTGAAAAATCTCCCATCGATTTTTAGTGAAACAAGGAAAAATTAAAAACGCATGAAAAATGTCTTAAAATTTTTATTATGGATCCAACGTATATTTTATTATGTAAGATAAGCAATCTTTTAATCTGTTAGGTTGGACTCATAAATTTTTAAAACCACTTAGAACGGAGTTTAAGCTATTTAAAAACTTGAAAAATTAGCAAGCAAATTTACAATTGTCTGTAAAGATGAAATTGCCCTGAAATATAGTCTAAAGGCATTGCAAAGAAAAAAATTTTCTTCGCAAAATATCCTAACAATATGTAATCGACTAGGCTTAAAGGTTTAAATAACCCCAAAAAATCCCTAAAAAATAAACATAAAAATATTACCTGATCCATTTGTGAAAAGTCATCGTCATCGCTCTCCCCACCTGCGTCCATCATACCAAGACCACCTAATTTAAAAATTTAATTTTTAGAATTTTCCTTTAAAAAATACCCGGATAAAATTCAGCATAAGCATCTTCTTGTTCCAATTTTCGTCTCTTTTTTTGCAACATCTCTTCCTTATCTAAAATTTCTTTTTCTAGTTTTTCCTTTTCTAATTTTTCTTTTTCACGTCTTTCATCTTCATCGCGTTCTCTTCTTCTTTCTGGCCTTCTGTCTCTTGCAGAGTTACGATCATCACGTCCACGACTTCTGAAAATTTAAAAAAATTAAAGAAAAAGAGTAGAGGTCAGTAATTTAAAATCTGGGTTGGACTTATCCTCATAATTCATATAAATTGATTGTGGTCTGATGTGACGTTAGAAGAAAAATACAGAAAAGCAGGTCCAAAACCTGGAAATAGCTACAGGGAAAAAACAGCCTAGGCTGCCTGGCCCATGTCCAGCCCAATACTACAAAAATAAAAAAAACCTTTCTCCGTCTGTGCTTGAAAAATAACTTTTCCTTTGATCTGAAGAAGATTCCCCTTCTCTTTGTCGCCTTCTAATATCCCCATTTCTTTTTTCATCATTTTTATTTGACGAAACATAATCATCTAAACCTTCAAAAATACTAGTAGATTCTTGATGTTGAGGTAGGTCACGTTCAAATCCAGTTTTCTTCTTTTTCTTAAGATCAGTCCGAAGGTAGACCAACACTTGAGATAATTTCTAAAATTGAGAAATTTTTATTTTAATTAGTCAATTATCGGCAAAAGGAATCCGATATCAACTTAGACAAAATTAGCGGATATTGGATTTTAAAAAGTTCACAAGATTTTCAAGAAAAATTAGAACTATTAACAAATCCTTACATTTATAAGCACATTATCGGCATTAATATTTTCAATCGTCTGATCTGCAGAAGAATCAACAACTGAACGCATTAAAGTACTAGGCACATCAGATTCTTCTTCATCTAATTCAACTAAATAGGCCATTCTACCTCTCACAAAAAGTTCATTTCTTTGAGGGAGTTTGTTTTCAAATAGAATTTTACAGACATTTCGAGCTAATTTGTTTCCAGCTTGTGTTGGATCGTTAGAAACAACAACTGGGTCATTTAATGCCTAAAAAATATTTTTTTTAAAAATCAAAAAGGAAAGAAACCTTTTCTTTTGCAGAAACTTGTTGTTCATGTATTTCCGTTCTTACTTTATTCAAAAGCGAATAATCAAGGCCCTTAACCAAATGGGTGTGTTCCATATCACCTCCAAGATATTTTGATTTCTGAAAAATAAATTAAGTAAGAATATCGTTAATGAGAAAGGCATAGCCAGGGGCAGTAGCCTGTCCTCGGAAAATTTTCTAGCTAAGGGCCTGATGCCGAATATAGGAAGACAAATGTCGACTTAAATTTTTTTCTCTAAATCGGTAAATCCAAGGTCCACTGATCAAAAGATCAAAAAACCCAATCCCTAATCTGAAGCAATTTTCGAAAAATTTAGAAAAGAAGGACAAGGATTTTCACGAAAAACGGCTCTATAAAATATTTTAAATTACCTGAATTTGCATTTTCCTAGATTCTGCCGCGGATGCATCCAAAACACTTCCAACATTCTCAACATCTTTACTAGCTCGTATAAGTTTGCTAATTTCTGTCTCATCAGAAAACATTCCTTTTCTTCTTTCAGATGCTCTATCTCGATAATTTTTGAGTATTTCAACAAGTCTAGCTTCAGATTCATCAAAAATATCATCGTCGGGTTTTGGAACATGATCAGGCCTCGGAACATATTTTTTGGGTTTTGCTTTAGTTTGCACAGAATTTCCAATTTTTCTATGTGTAAAAGCATGGGAAGCTGTTGTTGTTGTTTTTGTTGAGGAATTGTTATCGACTACTCTAGTTGAGGATGAAGAGGCTAACAATTTGCGAAAATCCTCATTCTTCAGTTTTCTAAAATAATTTTTTATGAAGAAAAAGGTAAAGAACTTACGCTTCTGACATCTAAAATTGAGTTCACCTCAGAATATTTTAAATTTTTAAATTAAAATTCTTAAAAGGCAAAAAATTAAGCTGACCTAAAAAATTAATTGACAATCCATTAATATATATTTTGATAAATTTTAGTAATTTTCTTTCAAATAACCAAATGTCATTTTGTCAAAAAATTTTTAAATAACAATTTTTTAAATTTTCATTCAGCTTTTGTAAATGTTGGGTCGTTTTAATTTTGTAAATGAATTTTTTTTCATTATCTCTTTACGTTCTTCGTGTTCATGGATCGGTCATTGATTGATTTGTCAAACATTTATTAAGTTAATTTAGTCCCCGAGTAGGGCAGTTTACCAAAATCTTTCATTTATTGCCTTTCTTTCCTTGTTTCCTTCTTGTTCCTTATTTACTGATTATTTTTTTTAGACTTTCTTTTTATTTTTATTTACTACTTACTAACTTTCTAATTGACAAAATGCGACCTCCTCTTGAACATCGTACACGTGGGTTTCCTTCTTCTGACTTTATGTATCAACAACGTGTTGGGGCTGACCAGCCGACTGACTTTCAATTTGAGTAATATCATAAAAATGATTTCTCTTTCAAAATTTTTTCTTTAGTGCTTCGCAAGGGAGAGGTGTTGCTCGTGTTGCCGCTCGTGCTCGTGCTGGAGCAGTGAATTTCCAACGTCCACAGTATGGAGCGCCTCCGGAACAAATGACTTATGAATCTTCTGACAATCCACCACTTCCAAATACAGAATTCTCCAGTTCTTTTCATCAGCGTGGAGCTCATAATGGTCGACGTATGGCGGCTTATAGTTTTGGTACTTCGGGATATGCTATGCAACAAGCTCAAGTATTTTTTAGTTTTTTTGGAAAGAATTTCCCTGATTACGGGCCTGATCGCTATGCGCTCAGTGGCTAGCTTTCGAAAAATTTGGCTCGGAACGATTTTTTGAACCAGTGGACAAATATGCTAACAAGGAGAGTTTGTAGGTGTCCGAGCTAAAAACGGTCGAGCTTGGGCTCATTCGATAGAGAATGTGCCCTTTCTGGCAATCCCGGAGAATTGGGGTCCCTGCGGAAAAAAATCTTAAAAATAAGAAAAAGGATTATTCTAGTGTAAAAAAGTATGCTGATTACGAATCTGAACTCAGATTTTGAAAAAGTCGAATCCCGAACTTTTTCTTATTTTTAAGATTTTTTTCCGCAGGGACCCCAATTCTCCGGGATTGCCCCCTTTCTAGCAAGGATTTTGAGCCGTCTTTGCCCGTTTTTTGATCTGGCCAAGATATAGCCCTTGTCTTTTAATATTTTGCGCCTCCCCTAAATTCGACAAATATTTTTTAAGTTTGTGCGTGCTTTAGACAAAATTTCTTTAAATTAATTCATGTTTATTTTTAAGATTCAGCCGACTTTTGTTGAGGAGGAGGAGGTTAACAATCACCAGGTTTAAATTATTTTTAAAATTTGTTATAGTTTTTTATTTAAAAATTGTTTAGTTACCGTCTACATCTCAGCAAACTTTGACTGCGGGTGAGTCGCTTTGCTTAAATAAGGGGACTTATGGTTGTAAAAGTGTCTTTTGTTTTACACTTGAAAGTTCCAAAACTGTGGATTAATAATAGTCAAGGGCATATCCAGCCCCCCCCCCCAAAAAAAAACCTACTCCCTGGATACGCCCTTGATAATAGTTATACTACGATTTTGAGGAAAAAACTATAACGTAAAGGATCTTAAAGAAAACCCGTCTACAGGAGAGCCGTCTAGACTAGAAATTAAACATTGGAACTCTCATTTTTGTTCGTCTGAAACCTCATACATACATATTCTTTCGGTTCCAAAATTCCCTAACTGTCCTAAAATACCGACGTTTATTGAACTTTCTAAATTTGTTTTAATATTTAAATTATTTATAGGTGCTTGTGATGGACATAAGGATACTTTGGCTGTTTTGGTTGAAGGTGCGCGTAATATGGCTAAAGTTTTGAACGACTTCGCTAATCGTCTTGACCCTTACACTAAATGATTGGTTTGACAGAGGGAGTTAAATAAATAAATTTATTGACAAAAATTAACAATAATGGTTTACTTTTTTTGAGCTTGAGTGGTTTAGGTACTCTCTTTTTGCTACGCCTTTTTCCGTCTTCCTTCTAACCCATAAGTCAATCCAGCTAACTCATATTTTTGGTGGGTGTGTGCCAACTTTGGTTGGTTGTACTGCTAAACAAAATTGCAATAAGTTTAGCTTATTCCAATAAAAAATTTTTTTTGGAAAGAGAAGGCCTTATTTATTCAGAGGTACACGCATAATACCTGTTCTAAAACGCAGATCCGGGGGGTACTTTTTGGCATTCAATAACTGAACGTATTAAGAAAAAAATGAAGGGAAAAGGCGTGGCTAAAAAATAGTAACCTAACCCATATAAGTTCCACTTTTTTATATACATTTTATATTTTTTAAAAATATTTTGGGATTAAATTAATCTAACAAATACATAATTTGAATTTTTGTGTTATTTAAAAAATTTTTTTTAAAGTCAAGAGTAGAAAAGTCTTTCCCTTTTCCCACGAAGAACGGGGTAACCTGTGAAGTCTCGGAAAAAGAATTTTTTAATTTCTCAGTGTTAGTCTTCGAGTTGTAGCTCGATTAGAAGCACAGAGACTCAATTAACGTCAACACAAAGTCTCACACAATTTTCCTTCCCTCAATATTATCACACCTTTAAAAAAAGATAGAGAGATCATCAAGTTGTAATAACTAGGATCTAGAATATTCGAAAATGTGGGATAACTAAGAGAGATTAGGCCAGATCATTTAAATTAATTTTTTATATTAAATATGTTTATTACAAGTTTTTTTTCAAATGAGATCACTCAAAAAATTTAAACGAAATTATTAATATTTTAAAAATGTTTATTGACTTTTCCGGAAGCTATTGGAGGCCCAGAGTTTGTTATTGGTTGTCCAAAACCCGTTGTTGGCTGTTCCTTTTCAAAAAAGGGAGCGTCTTCTTTTGCACCGTCATTAACTATAGGAGCAACTGCATTTACAAATTCTTCATAATCAATCTAAAAAAAGAAGATTTTTGCAAAATTAGACAGAAAGACATACTTGTTCATCCCCATCTTTATCAAATTCTTTTATTATTTCGTCCACTTCCTCCTCGCTGAATTTCTCTCCCATTGTCTAAAAGAATAAATGAACTAGATACATTTCTGTTAAATTAGTATTAAAAAGCGATGCAAGTTAAAGAGAATTTAGCATTACCGAATCAGAGGTTTGGTGGTTTAGTCGGATAGGTCTTAATCATAAAGTGTGGTATGCAAAGGTTCGAGTCCCGACGGCTTTTCTTGATTTTCTTTTTGAGGAAAATGAGGTTAAAAATGGAAATAAGAAAGAACAAAGGACAATTTCAGTTTTTTTGATAAAAAACAAAACCAAAAAAATTTAATTTTTTAATAAATAAATTCCTCACAGTCATAAAATGCCTAAATTCCTGTGCAGTAATATACCCATTCCCGTCTTTATCAAAAACACGAAATGCAAGTCGTATAAGTTCTTGATCAGTTTCTTTATTCATTTCCTTCATCATTTTACAAAATTCACTAAAATCAATTCCATTTCCATCAACATCATACTTTAATTAATTTTTATTTTTAAAAATTATTTTTTCCTTCTAAATAATTACTTCATTAACCATATTGAGCAATTCATCTTCTGTTGGATTTAATCCCAAAGTTCTCATAGCCACTCCAAGTTCTTTTATACTCATTGTTCCGTTTCCGTCTTTATCGAACATCTGCCGAAATAACAAAAGGTTTTAACACTTCCTGTCTACCTTTCTATTTTTTCCCTGTGTTATTATAGGGGAGAGTATCAGGGTGGGATACCCTGAGTTGGGGTCAGTGATGGGAAAGTTCCAAAATTTCTCTGGAACTAGTTCCAGTTCCAGAACTAGGTTTTTAATTTTAGTAGTTCCAGTTCCAGTTCCGGAACCAGGTTTTTAATTTCTTTAGTTCCAGTTCCAGTTCCGGAACTCCATTTTTAAAATTCCTTAGTTCCAGTTCCAGTTCTGGAACTAGTTCCAAGCTAGTTCCAGGCATTTACTAGTTCCGTAGTTCTAGTTCCAAACTAGTTCCAGATAATCGTTAGTTCCGTAGTTCTAGTTCCGGAACTGGAACTGGAACTTTTTTTTCTTTTTTTTTTCCGGAACTAATTAGTTCCGGAACTGGAACTTTGCCCATCACTGGTTGGGGTATCTGGGAATGTGTGGGATAACTAAGAGATTGTAAAAAAGAGAAAGGCTTGAATAATAAACTCATTTTTACCTTAAAGGCTTGAGCAAATTCTTGTAATTCTTCTACGGTAAATTCTTCCTCTCCATTAGATGATCCAGCTGAAGAATAATAAATTATTTAATGATGGACTTGAGAAAATTTTTGTGGAAAAAAGAGAATAAATAAGGTCGGACCTAACTTATAAATATTTGTACTTAAAATTGGGTATATTCATTATTAGAGGTATCGTCTAGGCGTTCTCCCATCCTGAAGCCTACCAAATTTTAGATCCCAAAAACCTACTAAATTGTCTATGCATTGCAGCCCTAGCACTATTACAACAACCAACTGAAGAAGAATCTGTTCCGTTACTATTTCCTAATCCTTCTAAAGGTTTAAAAGGAGAAAAGGAATTAGGGGCTGGTGGAGGAGGGGGATATTGCTGTTGTTGTTGGTGACTTCTTGCTGAATAACAACCCCCAACAATATATTGTTGTTGAGAATAATTTAAACAATTTTCGCTTCTGTGATGTAAAGGAGTTGAATTTGGATTTAGATGAGGCACAAATGTTGAATTATCTGAAGGAATGTTGTTGGGAGCTGCTGTGGAGGTGGAAGGTGGAAGGGCACTCTGTGAAGCGGAAAAGAGTTGAAATAAATTTTTAAGTGACTAGTCTACAAAATAGAGTGTGTCTACTAGACAGAGGGTGTCTACTAAATAGAGTCTACATTATGGAAGGTTTATAGAAAAGAGGGTTCTTAAAATGAAGTCTATAATATTGAGCTTCTATAGCATAGGGGGTCTACAATATTCAAAGTCCATAAAATAGAGGTTTCTTCAAAATTACCTTAAAAATGCCAACAGACCGAACACAAACACCTTTAGCAATAACAGGTTGAATGGAAGAAGAAGAAGGATCAGAACAAAAAGGATTAATTGGTTGTGAATCTCTTGAAGAATTAAGTGCTGGGGGAGGTGGAAGTACTCTAAAATTTTAATAAAAATTAAACTAAATTTTTTAAATTGTATTGGGGGATAAATCAGAGTTGGAGGGCAGAAATTTAAAATTTAGAAGAGATAACCCAAAAGTTGGGATATGTGGGAGAGGAAGGTAAAAGATTAATATAAGCAAGAGATTAAAGTGGAATTAACTCTCTATAAAAGAAACTCTTGATATTAGAGACCTCTATATTAGAGACTCACACTATTAGAGCCTCTCTATATTTGAGACTCTCGATAATATCCCGTTATAGTTTCGTTTCACAAACTATTGTGTCGTTAATAACGAGCATATACTAAATGGAAAAGGTTGAACAGTTTAAATAAAAATATTTAATAGAAAAAATATTTTCTAAAAATAAAACAAAATTTCTTTTTTAAAAGATTTTTGAATAGAAGAATTACTATTTATATAAACAAAAATTAAATATATTTTAAAAAATATGTAGCAATTAAATATATTTTAGCAATTCAAGCATTCTTTTTTTGGAAAACAAATTTAAAAAAACTAAAAATAGAAAAATATGCAAGAGTTAGAAGAAGGTAAAAATAAATAAAATGGAAGGAGGTTATTAAAAGAAAAATACTCAGAAATCTCTAGAAAAAAGCTGGATAGTTAGGGGTATAACAGAAATAAAATTAAATCCAACGCGGGAATTAAGAGAAAAATATTTTTCGAGAATTTAAAATGTGTCGTTATAAAGAGAGTAATTGTGTAACCAAAAGTAAGTATTTAAAAATCACAAAACAACAAAATAAATTCTGAACTTTAAAAAACTCAAAATTAGATGCATTTTAATTTAAGATACCGTAAATTCTCTAATAAAAGCACTTCCTATTTTTCAATCCTCTCGTAGGGTGTGTTTATACAAGAAAATTTAAGATACGTTTGTTATTGGGTGGGGGAAGAGCTGCATAAACAATACCTTCTAAGAGACTTTGTATAAGAAATAAATGAGCTTCTTAAGAGAAGAGACCCCTAAAGGGTAGAACTGTCCAAGACTCAAAATTTTCCGAGACTCGAGACCAAGACCATGACCCAAGACCGAAATAAACCCAAAAAAAGTCTTGAGACAAGACTCAAGACCAAGAGTCTTGGACAGCTCTACTAAAGAGGTATTTTACAGCGAATAAAAAATTTAAAAATTTTTTTTCAATTAAAAAATTAAAATTTCCGGGAGAGGAGAATGCGCAATTAATAATTCTTTCCCTTCCTCCTTCCCATGTTTCATTTATTAAAAGTTCCTGGAAATTTGAGATAATGAAAAATATGAGAATAAATTGTGTTCCCTTTTTTGTTATCTTATATAAGACATAAGATATACTCTTTCCGGTTTTTGCCTTTCAGTTTTTTTCATTCTTTTTATAGGAATTAGGTGTTTCTTAATTTAGCAGTAGGTATTTTGAATTGTTAATTTTTAATGTTTTATTTAAAAAGATTTTTGTGAAAAAGAATTGAAGGAAAACTAAGATCAGAGAAGACTAGTGGAGAGGAGGAGAGGAGGGAGGGAGTGGTCGGAGCACCTCAGTTCAGCGCAGCAAGGAATGATAACTTTTTTATATTTTTGGTATCCTTGGATAGAGAATCGAAAGAACTACAACATATCAAAAAATCAGAATTTTTGACCGATACCCTCTATTAGAGCTCGGACTGAGAAGAGATCTAGAAGGAAAACCTCGGTCATAGTGATCATATTTTTGAGAACAGCGGTTCTCGATTCTCATATAGGACCTCCCAGTCTGGGCTCTACCTCTATTAAATATTATTCCATAAAAATAGGTATGTCCTATTAGCGCCTTGATCCGAATGTGGTGTTAAAAAGTAGAGAACGGACCGGAAATCTCGATCGAAAATCTCGTTTATCGAGATCGAAAATTTTTCGAGATCTCGATTCTCGTAAGACACTCCCGGTCCAATCTCTATTAAAACATTGGGATATGTATAAGCAAGTTAAAAATAAATGGTTTAAAACTTTTTTTTTTAAATATTTTTATTTTTTAAATTTTGTCCGGCAATAAGAAAAATTAAAATTTTGTCTTAATTTATGCTGAAGAAAATTTAAATGTTGATAATCCGCTTATAAAAGTTTTTAAATTTGTTTACGTAAAAAAGTAAAGTTGTAAAGAAGCTTGTTTCCTGTACGTATTTTTACAAATTTTTAAGAGGATCTTTGAAATATAAATAAATTTACAATAACAAAATTGAGGATGTGTTTTGAATAAAAATCAAAATAATTATTTTGTAATTACGTCAAGGGTTTAAATGTTGGAAATTTAAGTTTAAATATAATTATTGTTGATTTATAAGCTTGGAAATTTCAGATTTTTGCTCGTAACTTATTTTTAGCGATGTAACTAGGGTTGTACACCGAACGTTCGAGAGCGGGTGTGTCGGGATACGGGGTTTTCCAATTGTTTCGGGACGGGGTCCGGGTCGGGGTACAACTCTACTTGTGCCTAGTGCTTCTTAACATCTCTAATGTTTGCTCGTACTTCGTAATAGGGACGAGCACGAATTTTGGTACGAGCGTCCAAGCATTGGGATAGAAAGTTCATTTGGAATAGGCAAAACTGTTTGGTGTTATAACAGAAGATCAGAGTTGGGTCGGAATTCCGACTTCCGATTCATGAAGAAAATTTTGATTTCCGACTTTTGAGCCAGTTCCGATTTCCGGCTGTTCCGATTTCCGACACCTTTGACTGTTCCGACCAACTCTGTGTGATTTAACAACGCTTCTAAATCTTGTTTCTCAAATTCATTAAAGATTTTCCCCTCAGCCAGCCATTAATTAAGAACCACTGGCTATTAGATTATTCAAAATCACCTTCTAATAGTTTTTTGATGGCTATGTCGTCTACTTAAACGAGCTACAGATTCAGCTGCCGCCAACATTTGGGCATCTCTTGAACGTCGAGTAGCTCTTAAACGGTTGCCGATTGTTGCTCCATGCATTTTTTTTTAAATTTTTTGTTGTTTTTCTTTTTTAAAAATTTTCACGTGATTTTGAAGGAGACAATTTTTGAGAGACAATTTATTTTTAAACAAACAAATTTTTGTTTGTGTCCTTTTATTCACTTTCCTGCTGTGCCTTTGAACTTTTTTTTCAAAAAAACAAGAAAAGTGCCAAGTAGTCAGGTTGCCGTGAATGAAAAAAAAATTCTTTTTCTAGTCAAACTTCCGCCGAACAAAAATTGAATTTGCCGTTTTTCTTCTTTTCTTTTTTCTCTGACCTGTCTGCCTATTCTCTCGTCTCTCTATTAATCCCCTTATATTTCTTTGTTCCTCCCACATATTTAGACTTGAATTAAATTTTTTTTAAAAATTTATTTATTGAATTTGTTCTTTCCAAATCAGTGCTTTTCTTCGTTTTTAGTCTTTTGTGAATATATTAAATTGAATTTTTAAATAAAAAATATATTTAAAAATGCTTAAATTGACTTTCTCTCTCTCTTTTTTTATGCTAAAATGGATTAAGTGGATTTTTTATGTTCAATTTATTTGGATAAAGTTGAGGAGAAAAATTTAATTTTAAGGAGAAAATAAAAAAAGTTTAATTTAAGCAATTTTATAAAAATAAAAAATTTAAACAAAAGGGGAAAAAAGAAGAAAATGATTAAGAAAAAATATATGAAATTAAATATAATTTTGTAGTTGTTAAACTTTCAGTTATAACCAGTGTTTTGAATTTTGAAAATTGCTTGTACTTGTACTTGTCAATTTTTTTGTCGTATTTGTAAACAGGTACGAGTACGAATTCTGGTAGGAGCTTCCAAACACTGGTTATAACACCATAAGGCTACAATGTTCACTCTGATATACTGATTCTAAAAAAGAAAGGTTCCGGTTCCAACGGAATTTCATATAGTAATTATATATTAGGGACGGTCATACACACAATTCACAGGTTTCATTTTTCGCAACTCTAATTATAACGACACAAGGATATTCCCATTATTCCGAGGAATTTTCTTAAAGTTTTTTGAATAGATATTTTAAATTTTTATGGAGAATGTATTAGAAGTGTTTAGCAATAATTAAATAATCAGAAATGAAGACTAGATTGTCTCTAAAGTTAGAAATAGACAAACTTCTGTGCTTTGTTCAAGTTTTTTTGATATAACTGACCAGCCCAGATTTTCAGGGCCTTAAAACCTAAGCTAGTCAAAAAATACCAGGTTCAGGGGCACTAAAATATGCTCAAGTCCCCTTGTAATAATAAAAGATTTTGCTCGGTTCGAGCTCTCTACTTATCTCTTAAAGTCTACATTAGTGTTCGGCAAGGTTCTTTACTACCGCGGTATTATCGTCAGTATCGGACCGGTACTTTTTGGTACCATTTGCCGAATACTAATCTACATACATAATGTTAAAATGTGTATTTTAAAGAAAATAAATGAAAAAAAATTAAAAATTAATTTGTTAAAAAGTTTTAGAAAAAAAAATTTTTTAAATGTGAGAAAATAAAAAAGAGTTTGTGCGCACTTAAGTATTTTAAATAATTAAATTTTAAAGAAAAGAGAGAGAATAAAGGAAGTAAATAAAAATATTAAATTTCTTTGAGAAAATGAGTACATTTTTTGGTGACTTTTGAAATTTAATTTTTAAGAGGCAACATTTTTTGAAATTATTTGCGTCATCCAAAAAATATTTTTAATGAAAAATAAAAACAAATAAACAAAAAAAAATCTTTGAAAAAAGAAGAAAAAATGGTTAAAAATTAATTTAAAAATTAATTTAAAAAAATTAAAAAATAATTTACCCCTCTCGTTTTTATTTAATAAATTTGATCTCAAGTCAGTACAAAACTACGTCTAATTTTCCAGTGTTTGGAAGCTCGTACCAAAATTTGTACTTCATACCTGTGTACAAAATATGGATACGAAAAAAATGGACAGGTACGAGTACGAGCAAACTTAAAATTTCAAACAACGCCCATGTCCGGGCGGTATTTTGGTTGAACGGTGTCTTGTCCCACAAACCACTTAA